TATATATATATATATATATATATATATATATGGTTTAGAGAAACGCACACGTCTACGACAATACAGTTAAATAAGCCCACCAATATATGTATATGTATATGTATGTAGATCATATTATTATAATTATTATTATTACTGTATGTCTGTTGTGCTATCGCGCAATTTGTATATATATGTTCTTTCTGCGATTTTGTATTTTTTAGTTCATTTTTAGTCGATTTCAAAGATTGCTTATATGTTTCAAAGTTAGTTGCTTCGTTTATATTAGTGTAAGTATATATATATAAGTTTAAAACAAATATATTTAAACGATTGAAACGAAAAAATTGAAAGAGTTACATATTAGTTGATTTTAGTACTTTTTTTGCTTTCGCTTGCTTAGTGCAAAAAGAACTTCTTCAGTGGGTTCAGTTCGTACAATATACAGGATTTTCCAATAAGAACGCGCTGATCTTAACAGTTTACGGCGGCCATTTTGTGTTATGGAACACCATGTCCACCTTCAACTGTGAAAAACTTCCCATCCCTATTGAGTATATATATGCATATATATATATATATATATATATATTTTTTTTTTTAATAATTATTAAATTAAAATGCAATGCAAATATTATGTATGTATGTGTGTATGTATGTATATAAGAAAACATAAAGCATAAACAAATACAAATATATATTTATATATATTTTTTTTTAATTTTCAATTTTTTTTTTTTAATTTGAAGATATAGTGTTAATTAATGTGTATGTATGTATGTGGACAGCAACATTTTAAAATACACCATTTAGTAGAGATAATAGTAATGCTTTGTATACAGAGTATGCACTCAATTTTTAATAGATCTGCTACAATGTAATACACAAGGAAATTATAAGCACAGGCGGCAGTTGAGCCCAATTTGACTCAATTTATCTGATTTTTAATTTGCTCAGTAGTGCACAAAAAAGATAACAGTGTGATTATGAATTTTATGGTTTTGTTGAGTTTACTCATTTTCAACTTCTTCAATTTAACTATCGATGAGATATTATCGATAGTTGTGCATTTGATGTATGAAATCTTGGTGGTATGCATTTGAATATAATTACATTGTTAACATTACAATTTACTGTGTGTTGGTGTGTGTCTGTTTCTTCTTTAACCATTTACCGTTACTAACATACAACTACCGCCTAAGTAAAGTACTACGACAAGCTATTGAAGTGGTCTGGTTTAAAGGGGAAGCAATTTGGCAGTTGGATTCGTTGCGCGTTATATCAATTATTTAAAAAGGCTAACTGTGTGTATAAATGTTTGTTGTTTTTTGTGATTTTGTGTGTGCTCCATTTTTTTGCGGCACCTGGACGACGTGGCGAAAGCGTTTGGTTGTGGTACTTGTTATTGTTATTATTATTGTTATTGTTGCTGGTATTGCCCTAAGCGGCCTGGCTCTGCTGTGGATTGACGATGACGGCGGTGGCCGTGGCGGTAACAGTCGCTGACGCATTGGTGGTGGTAGCTGTGGCAATGTTACCATTTATTGAAGTTGTGGTAGTTGATCCCTGCGCCGAAACCTGCTGCTGCTGTTGATGATCGCCGCTCTCAAAATAATCGGAAGCGTTACCACGGCAGATCGGGCATGTTCGATTCGACTGCAAATATACAAAATCAAATGAATGGCTGACAAAGCTCAACACGAAATATCGATCAAATTGATACCATTCCTAGGCACACTATTTCAATAGGCTCTGTTGAACGGTTAATCAAGCGCCATTTGAGCATGCACCGTTAGGTGCTGACACTGCACTTAGAAGGAAGCAAGCATTAAACAAATATTTAACTTACGCGCAGCCATTTATCCACACACTTAGCGTGGAATTCGTGGGAGCAGGGCAATACGCGCAGCAACTGTCGCAGCTCGAAGTCACACATGCAGACCACGCAGGATGATTGATCGCCTGTTAAAGTTTATAATTAGATTACCAAAGAACTAGTAACGGGCACAAACATTAAATTTGTTTACCACTATGTGCATCTGGATTATATTTATAGCTGGGCAACTGATCAATTTCGTTGCGAGTTAGCCCGCGAGGCTTGGCCTCGCCCAAACGCTCAGCCAGGCTGAGCAGCGCCTCATAATTCTCCGTCTCATTGGTGTCCGCGGAGTTGAGATCGTGCTGGTTATACGGTGAAAGCGGGAACATGGCGCTGCAAAAAAATAAATGCAATAGATTAGATATATGAATTTTAATGATTAATTTCTTAAACTTACAGGAAATTGAGCAAGAAGCCCGGATTGATAATGCCAGCGGTGGTTTGGATTTGCACGGGCGCTTGATGAGGTGCCAGCGACTGCGGCGGCAGGACATGCCGGTGTGGTCCATGATTGGCCGGCCAGAAGCGCGGTAGGCGCCTGTGAGGCGGGAATGTGCGTCGCTCTGATGATATGATTATCTGCTGCGGTGCCGCTGCTGCCGACATTTGTGTGGCGTGTGCAGCAGCTGCTGCTGCCGCCGCGTTGGAATGTATATGCTGTGCAGCAGCCGCTGCAGCTGCAGCACTCATCGAGGCAATGTGTATGTGGCTCGGCATCTGATGCGCATGTGCATGTGGATGTGGATGAGGATGCGTTGCCTGGGAGCCCATTGGCACAGATGCTGCTGCAGCTGCGGCTGCTGCTGCAGCCGCTGCAGCTGCCGCCTGATGTCCGTCTAGATGGTGAGCATTGGGCTGTGGCTCCAATGTCAGATTAGCCACTGCAATAGCGGCCACATCACGTTGCTGCTGTTGTGCCGAAATCGTTGCTGCTTGGATCATGTGTTGTGCTGCGGCTGCTGCAGCTGCTACTTGTGTGGGTGTCGGCACCTGGGCTACCTGGAGCGGAGCAGCAGCCAGACCGGCAGGCGCTGCTGTGAAGGGTTGCGCATAAATGCCGTGCAGATGGCAAGGTGCCAGGCGAGCTTGGGCTGGCAACGGATACGTGCAGAAGGATGCCCAAATGGGCTCGTGACGCAGAGCCAGATTGAGGTCGACCATTAGCGAGGTGGGTGGCGGTGGCGGCGGTGCAGCACCTACTCCCTGCTGATGGCTGGGTGCCTGTGGTGGCGGCGGCGGTGCCTGCACCTGCTGCAATATGGCGCCCACAGTGCTGCTCGGAGCTGGCCCGCCAGCGTTGCCCACGGCCGGACCATTGCCAGCCAGATCCCACGGCGAGCGATGCGAGTGTGTGTGCTGATGCGGCTGCTGTTGCTGCGGCGCATAGTGCGCCTGTGGCTGCTGATGATGATGCATTGGATGGTAGTTCGGAGGCACCTGCTGCTGCTGCTGCTGCTGCTGCTGTTGCTGTTGCGAGTGATGGGGCTGTGGAGCGTATTGTGGATGTTGGATTTGTTGCTGCTGCTGCGTGGAGGTGGCCACATCGCGCAGTCGTGGTCGACGCAACGGCGGACTGCCCTGTTGCATCTGGATAAAAATTATTCGAATGGGAAATGTTTTAAATAGCCTACTCTACACAACGACTTACCATGACGCGCTGTGAGCGTCTAGGCTCCCAAATAGCTGGCGGTGATTGACTGGGACGACCCGAAATGCGGCGACGCTTGCGCGATGGACTATCCGAGTTGATGCCGTTGGGGCCGAGACCATTGTTTAGCGACAGCGTTGAGCCGGACAAACCGGAGCCGGACGGCACATCACCCATTAGGCCGGGCCCGGCGGAGGAGCCCGACGCAACATTGTTGTTAATTCCGTTGTTGTTGTTGTTGCTATAGCCATTGCTCATGTGCTGCTGATAGTGCTGGGCACCATTTCGACCATAGCTATTGCCGATTCCCCCATTGCGCATAAAGCTATAGCCATCAGCCCTATGATCCACATTCTGTTCCGAACTACCGTTATTAAAGTGCTGCAAGAAGTGGAAATATAATGAAAGGTGTGCATTGAACTATATGTCTATCCTGGAAAATACTCTGAACATCAAGCTACGGCTACGATAGTGCTAGTTGTAATAACTTTAAATTAAAAAGCCTTACAAATTTAACTTATCAATTTCAAAAATATTGAATTGAAAATATAGAAATAAGATCACAGATTATATAGTCTATAAATATGTGTAGAATATAGTGAAATAATATATAATATAAATAATAATATCTGTATACTTATACAATAATTATAGCATACAGTCTGTGAAATTATTATTGTCCATTTATAGTAGTCTATAAATGAATTTTTAGGTCTATATATCATTTTTAACATATGTATTTCGGTTTGAAGAAACTTATTTTGACTCATAATGCAACCATTTATTTTGTATAGATCAAATTATGAGTCGTTTATCTCGCTCTGTGCAATTAAATACTAATATCTGGAAATGGTCGAATCTATAAACTATAATGATTATCTTTTTTTTTTTTTTTTTTTACTTTCGTAGATTGATAGAGTAACTTGATATGTCACAACATAACGAAATGAATGATCCTTAGAATGTAAAATCAATTATTGTTTAATGTATGCATATCCATATGATGAAGGATATGTTCAATTGACGACCTACATGTTAATATTGAGAATTGGTTTGAGTCGTAACTCAAAAAAGTATTTCTTTACAGTCCTAATTATAGTCGTCTTTTAAAGACGATTTTTTATTTTAAGAGCCTTTCGAAATTTATTTGTAGATGGAATTGTTTATAGTTAGAGGCAGCTAAGTCAGATATATATTTAAATAGGGTTAGCTTTTAGATTGCTTATATATATGTATATCTATACCAATAACCTATGTATATATTAAATATACCTATACTATACATATAAATTTATATTCATATATATTGAACTGACTTGCTAACTCACATTATTGTTTGGATTTCTGTCATAGTTGCCATTGTGGCGACGACTGTTGTTGTTGTTGTTGTGGCCGTTGCCCAGATTGCTGTTGTTGTTGTTGCTGTTGTTGTGGTGTTGCTGATAGTCACGGGATAAAGCGGGGCAAGCGCGACGATAATTCATGTAGTCTAAATTGCTCATATTGATAGCATTATTGTTGTTGCTATTGCTATTATTATTGTTGTTGTTGTTGCGATTGTTGTAGATACGCTGGCCGTGATGTGGTCCTGCAGATCCTTGGCTATGACTATTGATGGATGCGTGGTTTAAATGAGTATCAGTCAATTGGTTGAGGTTTATCATAAGAAACGGCGGCGACAATTGTTGCAGTTGCATTTGTTGTTGTTGTTGGGTTTGAGATCGTCGTTGTCGTTGTGAACACAGTTGTTGTGGTTGTGGATGTTGTTGTTGTTGTTGTTGTGGCGCAGTTGATCCATGAGGAATTATATCGGTACAAGAATTGACATTCACAACATCAGTAGGAATACTATTTGTTGTTGTATTGGTTGAATTGAAAGTTGTTGCGGTTGTTGAATTTGAATTCGTACGTGTTAGCGGGAGGGATTGGCGATTAGTCGGTTGTTGTTGTGGTTGTGACAATGGTTGTGGTTGTGATTGGTGATATTGGTTGTTGTTGTTGCTGCTGTTGTTATTGTTGTTGTTGTACATGTGATGGGTGCTGTGATATTGATGATTATGATTGAAATTTTGTGGAAGGTGGTTGTGGTTGTGGTTGTTGTTATGCTGTTGGGCTGGTAAGGATATCAGGGCAAGGGGTGTGCTACGGCGTGTTGTAGGTGTGCTTGTGGGCGGGGCGGCAACAGTTAAACATAAGCGTGCTGGATTTAATCGAACAACGGACACGGACATTGAACCAAAAGCAGGAGGCACACTCGCAGCACTGTTGCACATATCAAAATAGCTGTTATAGCTGTGATTGACAATTGAACTCTGATTGGAGATTAAATACTGATTGGGATTGTGATTTTCATTGTGTTGAGTTCGTAAACTACTGCGATTACTGCTGCTATTGTTAACAGTGCAATTGTTGTCGTGTGCAATGTTGGTAATTGAATGATGATAGCTGTTGTGGTTAACATTACTGTTACTGTTACTGTTACTGTTATTGTTACTGTTACTGTTATTGTTACTGATACTGTTATTGTTACTGTTATACTGAGTGAGCTGGCTATGATGGACTTGTGACTGATGATTCTGTTGTTGTGAGGAGGCATTATGATTATGATTGAGGTTAAGGCTGTTGTTGTGATGATGCGTTTTGCTATTGTTATAAATACAAGTTCCGCTAGAATTACTTGTTTGTACATCGCTGGATTTTCGATTTAGGATTGCAATTGCGTTATGTTTTTGGATTTGGATTGTTTTTTTTTTTTTTTTTTTTCAGATAATATGGTAATACATATAATAAGATATACGCATATAATATAATATATATATTCGATTTTACGAGATACATTTGAAAATTGTTCAATCAAATATGCAGTAGCAGTGTGGTGGTAGTATTAAAACACAACCCATATATAGTTATTTTTGTATGCATATACATGTACAGGTAGTAGGTAGTAGTAGTAGTAGTAGTGTATATATGCAGAGTGGTAGCCACACATATACGTTATTTATATAGTTTTTTTTATTATTATTTTGCAGTTTTTTTTCGGTTTTTTATGAAGAAGAAAGAAAAACGAAAAAGATAAAAATAATATATATGTAAATGGCAAAATGCAATAATTAGATTATTAGTTTAATATAGATATATATATATAATATATATTTATGTAATTATATAATATCAATATATACACACACATATAGTTTATAATAATATAATGGCAATGCGTGTATATGTAGCAAGAGTTTTGTTGCAATCATATAAGAATATTATTTAGTAATTATCTACATATACACACAAATGCAATATGCATTTAGTAGAAACAAATACGTACTAATTTTGCACAATTCTTTGGGTTTTTTTTTTTTTAATTCTTCTTATTGTTTTTGTCGTACTTATGCATTTTAAATAATTGTTAGTTTGCTATTTTATTTATTTATTTGTTTGGCTTTCGCTTCAATGCACACTACGCTTACAAAAAGAAATTAAAATATTTATCAAAAATATTACAACAAATGCGAGGAGTATCACAGTTTTTAGGACACTTTTCAACGCAACGCTTTCACTAGCTAAACATGAGATATATATATAGAGAGAGAGGCGTAGATTTATATGCACTTGTAAGAAATAGAGAGAGAGAGAAAGAAATAGATAGTGCTGTACATGCTCAAAAATATACAAAAGAGAACGCAAAAAACGTAAACCGTTAATCCAGCTTTTGAGGGAGCATGTATGCATGTGTTAGTGCGGCGCACTCTGACGAATCAGCTTTCGGGCACGCAATGTACGTAATCTCGTTAACGTAATGTAACGTAAGCACAACAGCATGCGTATGTAAGCTTAAGACAATATCTTAGGGTGACACAGATCGAGTAATCGAGCTGGGGTATACAAGATACTACTAAATTATATATATTATATATACGAACTGTATACATAATATATATAAATACACACATATATTCACACACACATAGACACAGCAGTTGGGTGGGCGTGGGCTAAAAAGCGCCAAAAAAAATTGTACGTTAACGTTTAACACTTACGCACTAATTGCAGATTGGTTGTGTCCAAAAAACTTAAGAGATGAAATCATATGCAATTATGCTAGATAGTAAACTATTTTTAATTTTTTTGGTTTCTTTTGCTTAACAGAGAGTGTGACAAAAGTTCAAAATTTTTATATAGTATATAATCGTTGCTTGGATTTAGAATATTGCGCTCACACACAATCACATATTGTATACAACTATGGATAAAAAGATATACGAAAGAAATGATAGTAACGCATTTACTATATATTGACATTTAGCTTTTTTGACGATTTTGCTTCCTCTGTTTTGGAGCTTCTATTTAGGTACATTAAAACTGTTTATTGAACATTCTAAGCCGCAGTGTGCATAATGCAAATAAATAAGTAAAACATTAAGCTGAGTTTCTTGATCATTAAATGTACATATATGTATATATAGTATGATTATTTAGTCAAATTTATCAGAGAATTTTTATGTATTGTTTACTGGCACCAAAAATGCAGTTAAGCGCTTATATAAATAGAAGTACACCAATCTATTAATTCTATTCAATAACAATCAATAAACTCAACTAAAATGCATTATATCATTCATTAAATGTTGAATTGAAAAAATATTACAACTAAGTATTTACTGTACGGTTTGGATAAAGAGGAAATTTTGTAACTAAATCGTTTTTAAATTTATATATATAATATATGTTGCTTGCACTTTGACGGTTGCAGTTATATAATAATCACATGGTTTTCAAACATCACAATATTTTTTTTTTTTTCAGAGTATTTAAAAAAGTTCAATTTGTAATTTTTTTTAGCATAAACGTTAAGCAAAACTATTCGCAAAAAAAAATGTAATAACCAAACACAGTTCGGAAAAAAGAATAAATGAAATATACAATCGCAGAGTAGACTAAAAAGTGTTATACAGCTGACTTAGCCGATCTATGAACTAGTTCGCCGTGTGGAACTAAATGTTGTATTTTTGATTTATCCGAGCCCAAAGTATGCATGAAAAACACTTACATCTATCACATAGTTCTAGCTTTCTCCGATTTTCAAAGTTGATGAATTCTCACATAACCTCGCTTTAAGATTAATTCTGTCGGAACTTGTTTGATTACATACATGGATATGAAAATGCGCTGTAATCATGAATGCGAAAATTGATTTTCGCATTCACAAAGACATTTTTGCATTGTAAGAAAGCTATTAATGTTTGTATAGCTATATATTATTAAAAATGTATTTTTCCATAACCGAAAAACCCTTTAAAGTACACAATACAAATTTACATACATACGTAGCATTAAACTAGTTTTGAAAAGAAAAGCAAACAAGTTATATGCAAACTCCAATTGCAAAGAGTAATTTTTGTTTGACCAACTACAGAAATTACGAGTTTGTACAGATCTGAATTTTGTTTGCCCGCGGCAAAGAAAATTGGTTTGTTTTGGCAAAAGTTGCAAAATAAATGTTGTTGTTGTTGTAAATTAATGATGTTGGCATGCTTGGTAATAGACCGTTAAGCGCACTTTACACAATATGTATGTACGAGAGAGTATGTAAAAGTATTTAGTAAGTACGATAAATTAAGAAGCTTGTTTTTGGTGGACAAAGAAACAACTACTAGTAAAAAACTTAGGACATTTGCTACGTATTAAGTTTTGCTCGTCATTTTCAAGTGCTCTTCATGCATTTGTTCTTGGATTTTTGTATTTTTTGTTAACGCTTGAAAATTCAAACAATTTCTGATAAGTTTTTAGATAAATGTTAATATATGTATCTACTATGGTATTTCGCCTGGTATGTATACATATTTGTAATTGAAGCGGTTAGAAAATTTACACACGGTACAATTAGGAATGAAGATTTTTTTTTTTTTTTAGCAGAACGAATATTTTGTTTTCTTTTTATATTTTAATGTAAATGCAAAAAGATACAACGATAATTAGTAGTTAGAGGTTATATATATGTGCCAATTGACGAAAATAAAAAATAACAAACAAAACAAAACATAAAGAAAATGTATAGTACGAAAGAGAGCAAAAATAACAAATGAATACGAGTTTTTTTTTTTTGTTTAAGTAGAGAGAACAAGAAAACAGCTGCAGCTGCGAACCACTGTGCAACACTGTCAAAGCCAGAGCGAGAGAGAACAGCAGTGTGTTGAAAAAGCTAGCTGCGCTAACTCCCACTCTCTTGCGATTCCCGAGCCTGCAGCTGTTTTGTTGTTGATGCAAGCTTTTTTTTTCTTTTTTAAGTGCTTCGAAAATTCAACGGTAAAAGAGGCCAAAGAAATGTTTTTGGCTGGGCTTTGTATGAATATTGATTTACTCTTTACTCTTTTTTTATGGACAACACGCAATTAATTACAAAATTCTCCCTTTACCCTAAAAGCGATTTTTATAACTGTGGTGTAGTTACGTAGAAGTAGTTAGATATATATTTATAGAGAGAGAGAGAGAGACAGACAGATATAGATATAGATAGAAGAGTAGAGAAAACTGTTCTATAGTTGTCGTGGGGAGCGTGGGGAACGAGTAACAGGGATGTTGTTATTATTATTATTTTTATGGCAGATCGTAGGCAATTATAATACGGTGTGGGATTACGGCGGGATAGAGGGCATTTGGATAAGGGGGTACTTCAAATTCGCTTTTATGTCACTTAAAGCTAACGTAATTTGCAAATATTAATTGGTATTTTTTATATACCACAAGCTGCTTAGCTCTTACCAATTCGAATTTCTGCCATCGATTGCATCTTTGTTATTGTTGGCATTGTTGTTGCTGTTGTTGTTGTTGCTATCATTATTGTGGCGATTCAGATTTACATTGCACCAGGGACTATGACCCGGCACAAGGCCATTGTTGTTGTTGTTTCTCTGCGGCTGCTGCTGTTGTTGTTGTTGCTGCTGCTGCTGCTGACCATGCGGATGCGGGGAATAGAGCATACGGCCACGATGCGAACGGGCCGAGGAGGAATTGCGAGAAAATGGCCGCCGACTGTTGCCCGAATGATTCGCATTGGAGTTCAGCATGTTGCGGCTGCTGCTTGAGACTTAACTGTTGTTGGTGTTCTTGTTTGTTTATTTTGTATTCTTGTTTGCTCAAACGTTTGTCTGTCTCATTTATAGCTGGAAGGAAAACGTTTGCTTTTTTCAAAAATAAAGTTGAACTATGATAAAGCCGCGCCCGCGTTCCAGTACACAAAAGCAATAACAACCAACAAGCCAACATGCTCAACAAAATGATTGATTATTATAAAATAGGATTCAAAACCAAAACAATACATAAGAGAGCACAAAACATTTATGGATAGAGGGATATTTATTTACTAGTACTTACTGAGGAAAACAGCATTAAAGTGTGTGTTTATATGGGTGTGTGTGTGTGTGTGTGTGAATATGTAAAGAAGATAGCGTATATATGCATGTATGTATATAGAAGAACATCTATTTGTATAGATATTTTTTTCTTGTTCATAAATAAAACAGCAAGAATTTGAGTTTGATTTTTAACAGTGTAGCTTTAATAAGATTTTGTCAATATTATTAAATAAATAAATGAGTGAATAATACGTGCTTGGTTAGTCTTCTGGGTAACTATATAGAGTACACAATATGCCTGATTTATGCGATTAATAATATGAGGAAAAAACTCTTGTCATACATTGCTAATAGTTATATATATATAAGGCTTGGGTATGGGTGTATGTGTGTGAAAGTATGTATGATAACATAACAAAAGGAAACAAAACATATTAGTAAGTATTCTCATTTGGTTTTTTTTTTTGTCGATTACAAAACTAGTTAGTACTCTATTGATAACTTCGTACTTAAGAGGGTAGAACAATTATCTTAACGGTATTTGTATAAAGTATATATAGTATTTAGTATATATATATACATATGTATTAGAAACACAGCACAACTTTGAGAATATATTAACTTATCTTTAAAGCTATTACAATGGCTTTTCAGCTATCACAGTGACACACGATTTTTCAACAAAAAAATCTGTGAGTATTTACTATTATGGAATATTAAAAAAAAAAATGTTATTTGAAAATTAATTAAACCTAAAAGTTTAGATTCCATACGATCTTCTTTTTGTATCCAGTGATTGCTCTTTTGAAATAAATTTTTTTGTTCTATATTATGTTTTTCTATATCTTGATCTAAGGATGAATGGGCAACGTAATTCTTCAATATGATCGAAAAGCATAAAAGTTTCTAGAAATGCTTTCTCATATTTAGGCATTACTTCTACTTAAGTCATCTATAGAGTAGATCAAAAGCTATTAAATTCTTCTGCTTTTCTTTTGTCCAAACTAACTAAGATTCGCACGATTTCTGAAGCTGATCATACAACTGTTACCCATAGACGGAAATATTTCAATTATCTTACACAACCAAAGTGGGCGTTAACAGTGATCGATAACAAAACTTGACACGTTTTATAAGCTTTCAATGTTTGCTTTTCTTTGCTGATACCCTAAGTAAACAAGATACATAATTTCACACATATATATTTATGTATATATATAACAGTGCCCATATCGCCAACAAATACGATTTGGTAAACGGATGTAACAATCTATCAAAGCTGTACTGTAATATTTATATACATAAATGCATGTACGTATCTGTGTGTATGTGTGTGTATAAAATAAACATTGTATGTGTAGCTGTTGTTTGGATGGTATAAATGGGGTTAGAGCAATATTGGAACCAAAGAACGTAGGACAAGTACAAAATTACAAATAAGATCGAAGGCAGGCGAAATGAAAGAAAAGGGAAAACTGGTTGATAATATATATTCAGATTATGTAGAGCCAATTAGATGTTTGTTTTTAATCTTTCATTTCGTATGCCTTACAATAAATAGTACAAATACGTTTAACAAATTTACAAGAAGAAAAAAAAACAAGCTTACAAACTAAAGCCGAGCCTGTTGCCAAGTTGCAGTAGAATGTTGTTGGTTGGTTGTTGTTGTTGATGGTGGTGGTTGTTGTTGTTGGTAGTAGTAGGCGGTACGAGGAATAATACAAAATATATAAATATATATATTTAATATATATATATGTATATATCAAATATATATGAATATATAAGTTGGCATTTATGGAGGCGAGTGAGCATTAGATGGAGCTCTATGTATAACTACATATATATGGATATATTCATATGTATATGCATATTCGTATATATATATATTTATTTATTTAGTTTTTTTTTTTTTTTTGTACTTGAGCTTGAGATTGAGCTTGGTGTGTGCGAATTGCAGTTGCTGTTGCAATAATTGTGAGATCTGATACAGATATAGATAGAGGCGCGGCAGTCTTATGTGCTAAATGTATATATACTTAGCATACATTTCAGTTTTAGTTTCGATATTTGTTTATACATGTCTATTGTTGATCAAAAACATATCATTGTTTTGTTTCTGTTACTTATTTTATTTAATTATATACTTTTTTTGTGTGTGTTAAAAAGCGGGCACGTCTGGCCACGGCCATTAACAAATGCAAATTTACCACCAAAACCAGCAATAAAATATTTTGTATGTATGCTAAAAACAAAGAAAAAACAAAAGTAAAAGAAATATTTGCAATTACATTCAAATTTTGTTTAAACTAATTTACGTTTTAGGACAGGTTTATCATAATACCCTTGCAGTCGGCATTGCTATTTAATTCAATAATCTTTAATATCGTGCTAGTGGTACTTTATAAATATATGAATATAAAAGCCCTTGAGTTTTTCAATGAAAAACATCTTTAATATAAATAATTGTTCAGACAGTATTCTCTTTTATGAATTGACAACCGATACTTTGAGGCATATCCTATCAAACTGCAAGGGTAATCAAGCTTCGGTTATTCCGAAAATAGATATATTGTTGATTTTAATATGTTAGTAAGAAATACAAGTGTGAAACGTGTTCTTTGGGCGTTGATGTGAAGATACATATAAATATATATAAAAAGCGTGTTTTTTAATGCCAAATAGTAAATAAATGCACATGTTATATAAATTTAATTGCTATGTAAGTTAAGCAGGCAGTTAAGCTATATGTATGTATATATGTTTTTATGTACGTAGGTATATGTTTACACGCATACAAATAACACACACATTTGGCACTTCGACTATTGCAGAAATCCTAAAACTTGACAACAAAATGCTAGATACTTTCGTTTTGTTTGTAATAATGCATTCATGTAAGACGTCTTATTTTTACATCGCATGTACGACTGTGTGAGTGTGCGTGCGTGTATATGCTTTGTGAGGTCAGCTCTTCATACCATCGAAAGTTGAACACACTTGCCACCCTCACGATATTAAAACAATAAATTATCAAATAAAAATATATATATTTATATATGTTTTTTGAAATGTACATACAAATGTATGTATTTATGCATCACTTGCCTTTTACTCTCAAAATTATAATTGAGAGTGTGAGAGAGATAAGCAAAAGAAAACCAAACAGACGGACAACACATACACATACACAGAGTACAACGGCAGTGAGCAAAAGAGAAAAGCAAAAACCCACCTAACCAAGTATCGCGCTTCGCTGTCTCTTGTTGTTGCTATTGCGTAGTCATGGTAGTCGAACTTCAACGACGATTGCTCTTTTTTGAGACACACGCATACGCACATCGATTATATGAATATATGTATGTATACTATAGAAAGGTATGCCTGACTTTTGTTAACTATGCACATACAAATTTTTGCGTTCCATAATATTATTGCATATATTTGTACATTAACAATATTCACAATAACGCGCAGACGAACAGAACTACACAACCACCACTGGCACTAACGATTGCAAAATCAAACCAGGGGAACAAAATAAATAATTTTACACATCGACGCGAGCGAGTAAAATACCAGCACGAGAACTCGCTTCAACAGACAAAGAGGTAGTGTGGTAAAATGTTCAGACAGACCATTTATTTGCTCCCTTGTTCGTTCGCTCGCTCAAACTCTCACCATTGCTGTTCCTCTCTTTCTCTTTATTTCTCTCTCTGTCTCTTGCTTTGTGTGTGGGGAGTCAAAACGTATCAATTGTAAATGCGTTGTGAGTATACATAGATATGGGTAAAAAAATCGAAACTCTGCGCCCCACAGTGGCTTCGAACCGCTCCCCTTTGGTCTTAGCTCACTTAAATCAACACAAGTTCACATATTTATTAGTGAATTGTGTGCCAGTAAGAGTGTGTGTGTACACATTCATTTAAAACCACATACATACGCACATTTATATATATATATGAATTCACAATGACAACCACTTCGTCACCATACAGATAAAAATTGGCATTAAACAATTGCGTTTTATATAATTTCACTACGTATATGCGCAAACGTTGATAATCACAATTTGAATTATACAAAAACTTAACAAATATGCTACTTTAAATAACAAATTTCACTTGATATTAAATGTACCAGAATTTTTTATGGGAGTTTACCTCTGCGCGACTCTCGACCTGACAAAAGAGCTGTAGATGTATGAATGTATGTTTTTTTTACTCCTCTAAACCGGTCACACTGTCTATATTAACGATTACTTTAACAATGTTGCACGTAAGATATATCGAATGAGTACAATGCCGATAGAGTGCGACCGTGCGTCGTTTATACAGCAGGCATCGATATATATATGTAATCGGAAAATAACAAATACATCGACAGGAACGCCATTGAATGTTTAACTTGACATTTTCGTGTATTAAAAGTTCTGTTTTAGCAATCATATTATTCACAATTTGACAAGATATCAGTGGATAATCAATTAAATTAAATATCAAGAACAAAATGTGGGTATAAGTGTCATTTCCTCGATCTATTTCATGACCGAAATATTTTCCCCCAATTAGGGCGCGTGCCCGGTCTCCCACCGCCGAGGGTGAAAAAGACAATAAAGAGAAAGATGTTAAAGAGAAGGACGCAAAAGCCGCTACATCCAATTCATCACGCAGAGAGCGGGAACGTAAACGCCGGGGCTCCGCTTCCTCCAGTAGCGACTCCAGCAGAAGGTGCATATTTATATCATACAGATTTTTCATTGCCGGCGTCTTAACCTGAAACATTTATTTCAATTCGTAAAGCTCATCGGGCAGCTCGTCGTCACGCAGCAGCTCAGGCTCCAACTCACGTTCTAGCTCGAGTAGCTCAAGCGATTCCTCCAGTAGCTCTTCCTCATCGTCGAGCGACTCGGATCGCAGCGAGAAAACTAGACGTCGTGGAGGTGGAACTAGCGGCGGTGCAGCAGGCGGAAAGGATACTTCCCGTTCGCCGCGCAGAACTACTAAATCGCCGCGTCCCAATAGTAAGGTGCGTAAGGAATCTGAACGTGAGCGTGATCGTGATCGTGTTCAACGCAGTCGCACTCGTTCAAGAGATCGTGCACGCCGTACTTCCAATGATCGTAGCGGCGCAGCAGGCGGTGGCGAGGTGAATAACGTGAAACGCGAGCGTTCACGCTCAGCTAGCCGCTCACGGTCGCCCCGTCGTCGTGGCGGTGGGCGTGGCACTGTAGATCGCACACCGCCACCAAAGCGCAGAGAACGCTCGCGCAGTCGCAGCCGCACCCGCTCACGCTCACCCACGCCAAAACCAGTGCGTATCCATGTTGGGCGACTTACCCGGAATGTCACCAAAGATCATGTCATGGAAATCTTTAGTAGCTTTGGCACAATCAAGAATGTGGAATTCCCAACGGATCGCTATCACCCCACTTTCGGACGCGGTATGGCTTATATCGAGTATGCAACGGCTGAGGACTGTGAGTCGGCCATGAAGCACATGGATGGCGGGCAAATCGATGGCCAGGAGATAACAGTATCGCCAGTAATTGTACCCAAGCAGCGACCGCCCATGCGACGTCCGTCGCCCCAGATGCGTCGTCCACAGGGCGGACGTTGGCGCTCCCCGCCGCAGTTTAATCGATTCAATAACCGCGGAGGCGGTGGTGGTGGAGGTGGAGGACGACGCAATTCACCACCTCGGGGTCGTCGTTCGCCGCGTCGTCGTTCCCGTTCACCCATTCGCCGCCGTCGTCGTAGCAATAGTTCCGATAGTTCCCGTTAAATAGAATTGAGATTAATTGAGAAAACCATCAGCAGGGAAGAACAACTAATGCCCATAAATTAAAATTATTCATACGCCGAAACAATTATTTAAATGTAGACATGAAATAAATTAAAAAAGCACACTAAATGCAACTAATTTCTTATATGATGCTTTGTCAATAATAAAGAATTGTCTAAATTAATTTCAACAAAAGATCCAAAATAAATTTTATTTCTTTGTATTAATCACAAATTATATGTCGATCTATGCTTATACAACTAATGTATAAAAGAGCACTCTTCATCCTCCAGTGGGCAACCTTGTGGATGGTGGAGCTTAAAGAAGCAGGGTCGTTTTTTGATTGTCAGCAATTTTCCAGTCTTGTCCGCAACTGCTTTGGGTTTTCGTATGCCGATGCGATCATCGCCGCAAAACTCAAAAACTTCGTGCTTATTCCGGAGTAGCGTTTTAATGCCGCCGCATTCGGACTTGATACCGGTTAACTCTGATTTGGTCAGCCCTTGTGCTATATCGCGCATTGTCAGCTGCTGTCCAAGCAGCCATTTGTTACCCACATCATTGCCATTATTTGTCTTAGTATTGGATAACAACATGTTGAAAATTTTCTGTACTAATGACTCGATTATGCTCTTTTCCACCTGTGTGCAGTTCTTCACACTCTCCGCTTTCTCTCGAAGCTTCACAGAATTATCTAAGCTTCCCGCTCTATGATTTTGTAGCTCTTGCTGCACTAAGAATTCCAACTCCAGGACGGGCTTCGCCGTCTGCTTCAGGCCAATCAACGATAACCGCTTGGTGCTTGGGATTTTAAGGCGATCCTGCTGAGTTTCAAAGCCACACAGGTCGGACAATTGGTGTGCGTAGAGCATAAAATCCTGATACGCGCTGATGCTAGTGTTCCGCCGCTGAAACTTGGCACCGGATAGCTCAAACGGACAGCAGGGCAGTAAGAAAAAACTGGTTTTCAGTCGAGACGCCAAGACGGGTAGCCATGGAGACAGTTCGTCGGAATGGTTGCCAATTAGCCAGTCAATGTCTGGATAAGTTGGCCGAAAACTGTTCGGCTCCACAGTTTGTTCAATTAGATGCGATCTCGTTGGCTCCGGATAGAGGGCCCACAGTTTACGCCGCCGCACATCGTAACCGTAGCCTTTATAACCTTCCGCATTGAGCACATGGACCAGTAGCCCATTCCCACAGCCGAGGTCAGCGAATGCTGTCGGCTGCGATAACGTGCAGTGCCAGAGCGTGATTAGGTAAGCAGCAATAGCCAAATCCTCGTAAATGAACTTTAACGGATCCGTCGATTCATTCGCCGTTTGCCAGTATTGTAGCAGACATTGCGCATGCTTCTGTTTCAACTTCTTGTAGAGCTCGCAGTACATTTCCACATCCAATAGTCTTAGCGATTTCTGCACATTTTTGTCTGGCCGGCTCTGTGCCCAGCTGAACAGCTTTGGCTTCAGCACAAACCGCGCCCAGCGTGCGGCTTGCTCAGAGTCATCGCCTGGTTGCTTTAGCAGCGGCTCTGCTTTCAGTTGGCCATCGATTAATTGCACGACAAAGTCATCGAATTCCGAGTCCGCTACGAAATGGCATTCATAGCTTTGCTTGCTAAAATCTATAGTTAAAACGAATTATCAATTATATGATGGGATATTAATTTTAAGCTTACATACTCACAATTCCATTGGCCAAAATATTTGAAGATAACTTTTTGGTCAACATTTTATAGGTAATCCTAAAACCTTCGCATGTTCTCGCATTGTCATTGCTTTGCAACAGCTGTTGTTCCAGCTCGGCCTCATTGGACTCATAGAGTTTTTCTAGCTGCAGTTTTTGCACTTCCGTTATTAGCACTTCGAATATTTTTTTATTCAAGGCATGATAGTTTCTTATTAATATAGCTATGGACTGCCAGAATTGCTTCTCGTTAAGATGCGCAGCGGCCATTTTTAAGCGTTAGCCCACACTGACAGACTAGTATGCTAATACAGCCTGAAATAAATATAGCAAAATTTTAAAAGGGGGTAAATTTTAAATATTCATTTTTTTAAATTGATTATCTAAAAATAAAAAAAAAATATAATAATAAAATAAATAATTATATTCAATAATCGCGAATTAATAGATTACATTGAATTATTAAATATTTTGCTTACAGAATTTTATCGATCAAGGGTTATGCGCTGCGTACATGGCTCAGCTACATACCTGTTGCGTAACGCAGCTGATTTGGAGCACAAGGCAGCCAGAACACAGCGGAACCAAATATAAATAAGTGAATTGAACTTCTACCTTGTCCTATTGTATTTATCCTTTCCGCTGTGCATTTGTAAATATGTCACTCCTCCGCAAATCCGTTCAACTTTTCAATGTTGCAAAGCTAAATACTAGAATGGTTAGTGTTCCTGAAGTTCCCATTAGAGTGAAATTAACTGTTTTCATTGTCAGCTTTCGGGCGTACAACGCAGCTACAGTGCTGGTGTTAAAAGAGTGGACGATCGTTATGCCTTTCCAGGTGCACGCGATGCATCATTTGTAAACAGTTTGAAACTGACAATGCCCGAAGATTATGCACCCATACCAATCTATCGAGTCATGGATCGCGATGGCTACGTACTCAACGAACAGGAGGATCCTCAACTGAGCCAGGAGGTAGTTGAAAAAATGTTCCGTGATATGCTGCTGCTATCCACCATGGACAAAATATTATATGAATCACAGCGACAAGGGCGCATTTCGTTCTATATGACCAATTTTGGCGAGGAGGCCTCACACATCGGAAGCGCTGCCGCCCTAGAAATGCGTGACGTGATATATGGCCAGTACCGAGAGGCGGGTGTCCTGGTCTGGCGCGGCTTTCGCATTGATCAGTTCGTCGATCAGTGCTATGGCAACGATGATGATCTGGGTCGCGGCAAGCAGATGCCCGTTCATTATGGCTCCAAAGAGCTTAATTTTGTGACCATCTCCAGTCCATTGTGTAAGAGGTTTGCATTATAAATGTGATCCACGTACTAATTTTTTTCTGTTCTTAACATAGCCACACAAATACCGCAAGCTGTAGGCGCTGCCTATGCTCTAAAACGTAAGCCGAACAACGACGCCTGCGTCGTTTGCTACTTTGGCGAAGGAGCTGCATCCGAGGGTGATGCCCATGCAGCATTTAATTTCGCTGCAACCCTAGAGTGTCCAGTGATATTCTTTTGGTATGAAGCAGAGGAGTATACTCCAAGCTATGATTAATTGGAATATTATTTTCAATTATTATTTTCAATTATTATTATTATCAATTATTATTATTTTTTGTTGCAGTCGCAACAATGGCTTCGCCATCTCCACTCCGTCGAATGAACAATACCGAGGCGATGGTATTGCTGGACGTGGTCCCATGGGCTATGGAATAGCTACAGTTCGTGTGGATGGTACCGATGTGTTTGCCGTCTACAATGCGATGAAGCGAGCTCGGGAATATGTTCTACGAGAAAATAAACCAGTTGTGCTCGAGGCCCTGGCCTACCGCGTTAGTCATCATTCGACGTCGGATGACAGCACGGCGTATCGCTCGGCGGAAGAGATTGAAATGTGGAACACTCTAGAGCATCCCATCTCCAAGCTGAAAAGCTATATGGTGCACAAGGGCTGGTTCAATGAGAAAGAAGAAACGGAATTTGTAAGCGGAGTACGCAAGCAGGTGCTCAAGCAGATCGCCATTTCCGAAAAGAAACTAAAGCCCAATTGGCGTGAGATGTTCGAGGGCGTATATGCCGACATGCCCAAGCATCTGCTGGAGCAACAGCGCGAGCTGGAGCAGCATGTGGAGGCCCATAAGCAACACTATCCCTTGAAAAGCTTCAAGCAATAGAGGGCTAATCAACAGAAAAAAAGAAACTGAAATCCTACAAATCTTAAACGGAGAGACTAATCGAAAAGTGCATTTATTAAGTTTAAGCAATATTGTGTTTTGTTTTGAATGGTTCCAAACCATCTGAAATTTGTTGCTAAATACGTAGACGAAACTTAAATAATTGGGGTTATTAAGGGACCAACAGAAATTAAAAACATTAAGTCGAGTGTCGTTACATTTGAAAATGTTTTTAAAAATTTATTAGTTTGATTTACATAAAAAATACAATACAATACGCAGAAGTAAAACAATACATTATAGTTACGGGTATTCCTGCAAAGGCCCAAGCTGAAGTTTATTGGATGCGAATTAGTGCTGTGCAGAAATTAGCTAAGATGGATTATCTCAAGATTTTAAACAATGCGCAACACTTAGAAAATGTTAAATATTGAAGTTCTTTAAATTTCGCTGAGCGATTACTGTGGTAAATCAATTAGAATATGACTGCATTACAGATTTTGAAGTTCCAATATGTAATATAATTTGTGTAGAATTTTGTAGCCACGCCTTAGGCCGACTAGGATTTAAATTAATTTAAAGCTTAAATATGATCTACAATTGATTTTCCTTTTGCGGGAATACCATTTTCAATTTATATATATATATATACTTTCGACTTAACGCACAGTGTGAAGGTGAGGCAGCTAACTAACATACTCCTTACTAAAATATAAGACGCAACAAGAGAGATGTTCGCTTAAGCTTGGCTGGAATGCGCGCGCGTGTGGGTGTGGGCGTGTCTTAGTTGGTGCGCAGCTGATAGTCACCGTTCTGGGTGATATAACGGACCCAGGGCAACGCCTGGTAGCCGCTCTTCTCAATGATCTTCAGGTAACGCACCTGTATGCCTGACGTAGTAAAGTAGGGAATTTCGAAGCGCACCTGTATGGGCGGTTTACCCTCAGTGTTGTCCTCGCTCTCCACGCTGGGCAGGCCAAAGTGGGCACGCATTAGATACTCCTTGCCGCCTGGGAACGATTTAATTGTCCATATGATGGCATTCTGCTCCGGGGCGTATTTGCAGCTGCCAATGGTGGTCTTAAACTTGGGCGAATCCGCATCAGCGGGCACGGGTATTACAATTTCCACATTGTTGGCCGTCGAGCGGCGCTTGAATTGCGATTTTGCCTTAATCATATACTCCACACGCGAATGGGCGTGTCGCTCAATAACCGATTCTATCCATATCAGTGGCTTGACCTGGTGTGTAAGAATACATTATATATAAAGGTTCTGTAAGATTAGGATAATTTATTCCACTCACATGCGTGTTGAGGCGATATGACATCAGCTCAAATTCGCCATCCGGTGGTATGAACGAGATTGTGCGATCGTTTTCGAAGCGGGACAGACGCACACACTGATGGAACTTAACATCCTCCAGCTCAACTGACTTGGATTTGCCACGTCCGGTGCTCTCGAAGAGAACCTTGTCGTTGAGGCCCAAACGAAGTTCCGGCATGCCAGATAAATAAACGCGCATTTTGATGGCCCCCACAATTTCGCTACGCAGTACATTGCCATTGGCATTTGCGAGCAAATTGACTGACTCGATGACATCCAGAAATACCTCATTCTTGCGATATTTGATACCCTCAGAGCGCCAGGACACTGCATTCGTTACGGCAACGGGTATACGCGGTTGCAATTCCAACTTGTGACCCTCTTGCGTGATATATTCCTGCAGTATTTTCGAATCCGTTGTCTGGGGATAGCCGAAATCAATGAGTTCGTCAAGCAGCTCGTATATTATAACGAAATTATCGCGGATGGACTCCTCCTCCAACTCTTTAAAATACTCCACAAACACCTGTGCGATTTTGTGCAGGAATACGAAAACGAGCGCAATATTTACATTCTTATTGCGCGGCGTCGTGGACACAATATATAAGTTATTTGTCTTAATATAGGCAAAGGTGGTCTCGGAGGTCTGCAGAATGGGTGTGACGAGACCTTCTTCTTCACGTTCCATGAGCAGCGGCATGAACTTATCGATTACAGCCATGTCAATGTTGTCGCCGCGATAATTGCGGGATATTAACACCTTCCCCTTCACGTCCAGCACAAATATGGCTGATGAAGACATTTTCCTTCGTATTTATTTTCCCGGTTTTAGTTTATTGGCCAACAGCTTCCAGCTGCCACTTGTTCTTGTTGTCCCAAAAGCGAAAACGGTGACTGTCAATCTTTTCTGTTTGTGAGCCTGCAAAGATATTAACGAATTATTGGAATAGCTTGCAACCATTTCATACAGTTTAATATTACATTGTTCGAATAATAAATGTGTAATTATCGTTCAACCTCGCCACTGGAATTAAAGTTTAGTCACACGAAAATTACTTACGTCGTCGACTCGTGCTTCTTCTTCTTTCGGTAATTCGCATTGTCAATGTTATTAAAGTGTTATCCAACACTCATGTTTTAAAAATACGTATAAGAGTATATATGTATCTTGTTTACGCTGTTGAAAAAACTACATTTATTTATTTTTCAACAAAAACTATTTTATAAAACTCGACATCGTATTATTTTTAAAATAAATGTAAAATATTTACTGGTCTCAATCATCTTTGCGTACAAAACAAATGTACAAATGTGACGTCATAGGCATAACTTATTGTAAGTAGTTCATCTTCTATCACGCATTTTTCGTGCGAGTACTTAAATATATCGTTTTGCTAAAGTATCGAATGAGACGCTGCTTTCAACAAATGTAAGAAAAATAAACAAAAAGGAAAATATTTTGGAGCATGCAAATGAATCCGAACATTACAATTGAAAGAAAACGCGTTGATTGCAACGCATTACCAAAGGGCTGGCAGCGCGAAGAAGTGCATAAGAAATCTGGTTGCAACACGGGCGTTGATGTGTTCTACTACAGGTAACCAAGCACTTTACTTGGCTGCTATTTAAGCAGGTACACGGTGAAGGTGGAGCCTGGCAACTAACGTAAACTGTAATATAAACACAAAAAACAAAGTGACTGCACGTGCGATAACGAATACGTTTAACTCACTCTCACCACTCTTTTTTTTTGTTATTACATTATTACTCTCCCACACACACACGCGCACATAAAAACATATACACATACATATACATAATATGAAATTTCCCACCCTCATACTTTGCGTTCCTGAAACGTTCATCTTTTGGATGTGTACAGCCCGACAGGCAAACGAATCGAGAGTAAACCACAATTAGCACGCCAATTGAATACCGAAATGTTTGACATCAGTAACTTTGATTTTCAAACTGGCAAAATGCAAACACAACGACAAATGCCCTCGCCATCCATATCGTTGTATCGTTGCAATGCAGCGGGCGCCATTATCGGCAATGCTGGCCCAGGCGTAAACCCTGCTAATGCTCTAAAGCGTAAATACAGCCGAGCTCAAACGCAAGGCTCCGCATCCAACAACATCAACAGTGGGGGAATTGCAGCATCGATAACAGCAGTGCCATCGATAACCGCAGCGACGGCAACTAATTTACGCCAGCAGCAGCAACAGCAACAGCAGCAACAACAACAGCAACAACAACAACAACTTGATTTCAGGTAGAGCCAAGTTGATTGTCCTTGGCTAAGCGAGCTCTTGCATGCGCCTGCCTACATCAATTTTTCGCCACTAACCATTCTATATAGTGCAATTCAATCGATTGGCCAATTTGTAATTAATAATAGCCCTAATTTTGTAAATTTCTTCATAGTTAATTGCTCTACAATTCTGTAATATTCTGCATGTACTTTCACATTACTTTCTTTATGCCATTTATAAAGCCATATATAATCTAATGGTCTCCCTTTTTGCAGCCGCAATTTGCGCACAGATGTCTCCCTGGTGCCACCTATACGACAGACAGCTTCAATTTTCAAACAACCGGTGACGGTTATCCGCAATCATGAGCCGAGCAAAGTGAAGCACGATGTTAAGCACGGCGGTCAGGAGAAGCCAAAACAATTGTTCTGGGAGAAGCGTTTGGAGCGCTTGCGTGCCTGTCATGACAACGGTGAAGAGCTTGACGATATATCACTGCCAAAAACAATTCGCACCGTTGGCCCTAATGTCAACGAACAGACCGTATTGCAGTCGGTGGCCACCGCCTTGCACATGCTCAATGCCGGCGTACATGGTCAGAGTTCGACAAAGGCTGATCTAACGAAGAATGCCATGGCATTCATGAATCCCGAACAGCCTCTAATGCATGCGGTAATCATCTCCGAAGACGATATTCGCAAGCAGGAGGATCGCGTGGGAGTGGCACGAAAAAAACTCCAGGAAGCGCTCAAGACATGAATACGCCAATAGAGCGGGACCATTCATTTAGAGATATTCCATTATGGCTCATATACGATAATAGCTATATATATATATATATTATTTTCACCAATTGTTTGATTTCTGTCTAAATTGATATCTTCTGAAAAACATCTGTTTTTTTTTCAATATTAAAACTATATTAATAGTAAGTTTAGTTTTTTAATAAAACATTCGTGTAGTCAAGCAAAAACACACATATCAAATGGGAGTTAATTTCTATATACTCGTATATACTACATCAAAATAACAATTGAATTAAAATTTTTCAGCATCAGTTGCACGTTTTATTACGCTTTGGTTGCTGCTTGTGTTGTTTCTTTTTTAACATACAATTTCATATAGGTAAATAGTTTTAAAAACAATGACAAAAAGTTTACGGCTCATTAATAATTTATATATGTAGCTTCGAATCGTATGTACATAAATATGAAGGTTTTTCTGTATTTTTGTTTTCTTAAATCTTTTTTAAAGGATTTGCTTATGGAAAAATTACTGCTGTGCTTTTAGATTTCACTCTTCTTCCTATGTTATTAATATAAATATACATCGATTGCTAGAACTATATCTGTACAGAACTGTAACTAATCCAAAACCTCATCTATATCGTCGTCCTCGTAGTCGATGCCGTCGTAGTCCGTTGACGAGCGTGTTAACTGCAATCAAAACGAAAAGGCCAATCAACAATTAAAGTAAAAAATTTCCAAACAATACTTAAAATTACCTTAAAGAATTTTATTGTAATTTTGTTGTACATATTTATATTTTGATTGATCCTACGTTTGAAGGTCAAGCAAATTTTTTAATTTGTTTTAAGTTACTTTAGAATTCCTTCGGCAATTAAATTATTTAATTTTGATCTATTTATTTTTTGATTATTCCTTTGTTTACAAGCCAAGTTACCTTCCTTATGATAAAATAATGAGTAGAAATCTGTTAGAAATCCTTCTTACCTGCGTGTAAATGCCTCGCCATGCTGCAAAGGCACCCATTGCCAATACGGCGCCAACGCCAGCGATTATCTTTGTATTGAGATCCGTCTCCATTAATTTTCGCTCTGAAGGTGTTAGCATTGTATCTGATTGGCTGGGTGCTTTTGTCATTTTGATGGAACTATAGCATTCATTCCGGAATATATCCTTGGTGATGCGCTTAATGAAATTCACTAAATTTTGACAGCCTTTTATGTGATTTTGTAGTGGATTATTGGGCAGTGTTATATGGTAGATAATAGCTAAATAACTATAGACAATGGCATCCAATTCACTGTACGTATCTCCAAAGAACCAAACTTTTCGTCCCAATTTACGAGAAAGTAAATTCACACATTTTTTGGCATTAGCTGCAAGCTGTAAAGAAGAAATTTATAGATTAGAGAGTTGAAGAATATAAAAAGGATATCCTAGCTAATATGAAGTCTGAAAGAATAACTTTTTAATAGTTCTATGATGTTTAAAACATGAAGTAATAATCACGTATAAATGAGATAGTACTTAGAGATCGCTTTAAGTACATGAGCAACACAGATACTTGTTGAATATAAATTCATATGACGCAACAAGTAAAAGAATTTATGAAAACGCAGTCAACAAAGCAACCGGTTATTAATTTATATATATATATATATATATATATATATGACAGTATTCACTTACATAGTCACCCTCATGCTTTTCCAGCTTATCATTTATATCAAAGCCTCCCAGCACCTGCACCACATCGCACGCCTCCCGCTGATACGTTGAAGGGTAGTAGAAATTGAATGGGAATGGTGTCCGCTTTGCGTAAAGGCCACGAGTAGTCGTATCATAGTTGTTCGGCTCACCGTACAAGTAATAATGATAGTAGGCATGCAGTTGTGTGAAAACCCAGTTCGAGTATGTAATGGAGAGATGTTTTTGTTTCGTATTTAAATGCGCATCGACCGGATAACCCTGAAAGACCAAAACATACATTAATTTCGCGCTCATTTGGCGTACATACCAAGCAATCACATGTGCTATAAATAGCCAACTGGTTTATTGACCCGGCTTATTTATATATATATAGATATATTCCTTTACCTCAATATCCAGTATTCGTTTGATATCTTTATAGCCATGAAATTTATCATTGCCAATTTGAAGATATGGTAATTTTCCAGTACCCGAACGCAAAGGATTCGCGTTTGTTTCAATTTCCATGGGGCAGCGGGTGAAACGGAGTAAACACTAAACATTTTTACCAAAATGACAATTGATTAATTTATAGATTAATATATTATATAAAAAATCAACATTTTAATACTTATTTACACATAGTATGTATTGATATGGCCGATAGCGAGGAGTTGCTTGCTGATTATGATGCAACGGAACTTACCAAAGCACGCAGACATTCGAAATCTATGGACGGCAGCCCCCATTCGCCTTTGTAAACGTGTAGCTTGGAGCCCAACTGCATTTTGTGTTGTATTTGTTATTTTTATTGTTGTTTTAACTTTGTTATCGTTTATTCAGCGATTCGCCTGCAATTGCATTGTTCAGGAATATTAATCAAAAATAAATAGATGTGTCGAAATGTGCCGGACGAATTGTAGAGAGACTTTTGATTGACACACTCTGCGCCGGTGTGAACGTGCTTACAAAATGTTGAGAATACCCAATTTTGACATAAAAATACCATCACAATGCAAGAATTTTGAAATTCAAATTATAAAGATTTAGTGCATATATGCAGGAGGTATTTAAAAATAAAATCATTTAAAGTCTATAAAAGCTTGAATTAAGTTTCTCAACAGGTATCGTGCGTGTTTTGTAAAAATAATCGATTGTTTTGTTCATTAAATGGTCACACCATTATTTTAATGGAAATGTAGCGAATATATTATTATTGTTAATATGGCTCTAGTAGATTATGGTAGCAGTTCCAGCTCTGAAAACGAGGAACCAGAGACGATAGCTCATGGATCTGTTAACTTGAAGAGGTAATGTCACCAATAGTTTATACCATGCTGTATATATATTTAAAATCCATTAGATCAGCTTTACCCACAGCTGCCTCCTTGTTGGGCGCCAAGATAGCGAAACCTTCCAGCGATGATGAACAGGATGATTTTGACAATCCGACGTTACATGGCGGACGCATACGTAGCTTTAAGCACGAGCGCGGCAATTGGGCAACATTTGTTTATGTACCCGCTTTTGCCTGTGCTGAACAGCTGGAAGATTTTCAACTAGAAGCTATTAAAAGGCTAGCACCACATCTTGGGCTACAGCCCAACGAATCACTGCATTTAAGTTTAAGCAAAACTGTGGTGCTACAATACCATCAAATTGATGAGTTTCAGCGATCGCTGCAGCATGCACTCCACAGCTGTGTTGGGTACGTGTTTAATATTTTTTATATTTTTTTTTTATAACGATAAGTTTATATTTATTTTTCTGCAGGTTTAACAGCACGCTGAATTCGGTTTGTAAAAGTCTAGCTGTATTTGATTGATTTTGTAATATATAACGTCTTAAATTCCAGCTGGAAGTCTACACAAATGAGGAGCGCACCAGAACATTTCTGGCCGTGCAGCTGGATGCCGCATATGCGACGAAAATGTCGGGGCTGTTGCATTGCGTGGATTCGGTTATGCGAGATTATCGCCTGGAGAAATTTTATAAGAATCCCTCATTTCATGTGAGTTTGCTTTGGTGTTTGGGCGATCAAAAGGCGATGTTGCAAGAAAGACTGCAGGAACTGCAGCAACTGCTCGATGATCATGAAACACTTAAACTGGCAGTACATGAGCTACGCTGCAAATGCGGGAATAAGGATTTTATTTTTAAGCTCAAATAGTAATGGAAACTCAAATTGTCATTTGAAGGCTTAACTCAGGCCTTTCTTTTTGTTGCCGTTGCCTTGTTTGGCCTGCTGCGCCTGTTCCTCCATCAGGCGTTCTTCCTCGAGCTCCAAAAAGCGTTGACGACGTCGACCCAATGGGGTTTTCGACCACCACGATTCGAACGCCTCCTCTTCCTCGCGATAGACTGGATCACGAGAACTGAAATGAATATATATACATTAATATAGGGTAATCAGATCTATATATTTATAAATACTCGCCAAAGAACATTAATGAGCTCTGCATTTGTTAGAGGTTGCGATCGTAGCTGTAGCTTGCGCTTGCAGCTCATCACCTCACGTAGGCAGGCATCAATCGCCCCGATGGTATAGCCATCCGAGATTTTTGCCATGGCGCTCGTATCTAAAGTGGAGATGCCTCCAGAATACTCACTGAAAAACACTTGGATTAAGAAACTGCAAAAATAGAGTAGATCAAGGGGATGAGTTACTGTAAAAGCGTTTTCCAGGCATGAGACATGGCGCCATAATCGGGACGTGGAATGTAGATGAAACGATTATAGACCGATTGCAGCAGTTTCTGATCTGCCTCCCATGGCAAACTTGTGGTGCCCACAAATATGACCCGATCCTCGGGTGCAATATTCTTGATCATCTTTGGTAAATCCTTTTTCAAGCGCTTGGGATCGGTGCGATCCGTTTTAGGTATTTTTTTCATAAACGGACGCTCTGCATCGCCCATATAAATGACAGCTGGTTGCAGCAACCTGGACACCTTGAGTACCAGATGTATCAACATGATTAGACCCGATTTACCTGGATACTTGCCAACAATGTTGGCTGGCGTAAGATCAAAGAGAACTGCGCCAACTTCCGTGCAAATGGCATGCAGCAGCGCCTTCTTGCCCGATCCGCGCGGACCGGCCAGCAGTACGGAGCGTATGAGTGGCGTGCAATTGTGTATAGCCTCTGAGCCGAGTGGCAGAATGCAATATTCGGTGAGCACCTGACGGATATCACCAGGCGAGGGATTAGTTCCGTTGCGTGCGGTCAGCGCCTTGTCGCCCAGAAATTGCTTTAATCTTATTTCTGGATATTTGCGTATGATGCCATTGGTAACCAACTCTTCGTAGAGGGATTCGATAGTGCGATCTGGCGTCAGATCCTTCTCCTTCTTCTTTTTGCTCTTTTTGCCAGAACGTCGTGTCTTTTTATTACTCTTCTTCACCTTTTTTCCTACCATCGTCTGAAGAAGCTCAAGCTCCTGGCGCATTACATCATCTACGGCACGTCGGAATCCCAGCTCCACCTCCTGATATTTCTCCGCATAAATCATGTCCTCGTAGGCTGCCTGGCTGAGTACTCCAGTCTCATCCTTGTCTCGCCAGGTATCATTGAAGCTGCGAAGGAACGGTCAATCAATAAATCAGATAATCCTGGAAACTTGGGAGCACATACTATTCAATTTCCGCACGTATATCGGGAAGGCACGCTGAGGCAGCCGGTTGGAAGTTGACATCCTCTTCCTGATTATCGTTAACATTCAAATCTCCGCTGCGTGCTGGCGACTTGGACTTATCCTTGGTCTTGCGCGATTCTTTGGAGGAGCGCGCGGAGGAACGACTATGTTCGCTTTCGGTGCCCGGACGACTGAAGATGTGCAGCGAGCCACCTTGATCCTCGGAAGGAAAATCTGGCAACTTGCCCGTTTTGTCATAGCAATCCTTGATCCAGGCCCGAATCTCATCGGCAATGTCCTCCCTCATAGTGGCACCATGCTTCTGCTTAATCTCCTCCTGTATGGCCAACTGGCGTGCTTCAAACTGCGCTGCATATGCTCGTTGCGCCTCATACCTTCGCCGAACGTCCGTCTCGATGTTCCGTTCATACTTTTCGGCACGTTCTTTGAGCACCGAAGCCGGTGGCGGCACCATGCCAATTAATATCATCTCGTCCATCTTGCGACGTCGCGTGATGCGGCGAGCCGTATGACCGCGCCACATTTTCTGTATCTTCATGGCAGCCATTAAGCCGGAGTCGGTGCGTTCCCTATCGGTGCGATCCTCCGATTTGCCCTTTTCCTTTCTAATTTCCTTCATGAAGTGTGCTCGGAGACGACCCTGACGTGCACGTTCGTGCATCTGCAGCAGCCTTATGGCCTCGATCTCGGTAAGCTGCTCCTCCAGTGGATGCTCCTCTAGCCAGCCCAGTTTAATCTGTAACTCGTGCATCGTACGCTTACGCTGCTCCAGCTCTTCCTCACGCTCGCGCAGAAAGTAACGTGGAATACGCAGCTCTGTTTCTATAGGCGTCAGACGCAGACGCTCCACAACCTCATCGTTGTAACTGAACTCCATAAGGTCAATGTTCACCAGATCATGCTTCAGCTCCACCACACGTCCCAAGCAGGCGTCCAGCAGCTTGCGCACTAGCTCACGTTTTTGTGGTTGAATCATCTGTGAGGAAGACAAAAGGTGTTATAGAAGTAGAAATGATCTATATTTTGATGTCCTGCATTTACTGATACTGACATTGTCGTAGACCTCCTCTAATCTATTGCACAGGCAAATGTATCGCAAATAGAATTCGTAGATGCTCGCCTGGAGCAGGCTCTTGGATTCGGCTGCAGCTGCCACAGAGCTGGACACAATGCCCGTGACTCCACTGATGGTAGCCACTGTTGTATCCACATTCTGATGCTGGCGCTCATAGTCGAGGATGGCCAATTGTTCGCAGTCATGCTGTGCCTGATGCCAGATCTCGTTGAAATAGTGGCTAGACATACCGAAATTAATTTCAAAAGAGCTATTATTTTTTGCTGCAAACGAATTGGGTAACCGGTGTAACGGTTGTCATGGAGGTTTTTCAACCATTTTCTAGTACAAAAGTTTAGCGCTAAACAGCCCTTATCTAAGCAGTGCTATTTCATCCACGGTTTAGCATTCATAACTGGTTTCCTATTTAAATGTATATATTGCTATATATTGCCTAAAACATTGCAACCTTCTCCTACATATTTAAAGTCCTTGAAATATTTCTATTAGTGTAGTCAAGAGACGTAAAGAAGATATATGTATATTTATATTAATCGCTTTATGAATAAATTATGGTACACATAGATATTTTACATAACAATATAATAGATTGTTTAAATTACACATAAATAGTTAACAATAGCAAGTATTATGATGCATATGGAATAAGCTGAAGTCGGGTACCTTAAAGATTATCTGGGGAGCAATACTTTAGCATGGATTTGGTATGTTTGAATTGTGCGCCACTCGTGGCCGAAAGCACTTCGCTGATGAAGCTTTGTGAATTGTGTACGGTGGTGCCGCCAAGGATCACCCGATAGCCAGCCTTGTTCAGCTGATGTACGGCAAAGGCCTCTTCGTACGTGGCACCGCCAATGATAAAAACCACTACCTCCTGTGGTGGTCGTCGAAATGGCACCAGCTCTGAATTGATAGCTGGATACATGGGATCTAGTTCACGGCCTTTGAACACATCCTCCAGCGTTTCCTTCAGCAGTGGAGTGTGCTGTGTGAACACATTCTCCACGCCTTTGAGACCCTTGATCAGAATTCTTGTTAACTTCACGGCATCTGTGATGCGCACCATATTAAATAGATCGCCCTGTCGCACATGCGTGCCCGCATACTCAATCAAAGCGGGCACAATCTGTGTATTGCCGCCACGTGTCTTGATGATCTGCAGCAATCCAGAAGTATCGCAATTTGCATGGCGTTCGTAACGCAACGCATACAATGCCACCAGCTTGACAGCATCATCGATGTGGATTCGTTCGTCGGAAATTAATTTTTTTATGCGTTGCAGCTGTGCTGAATGTTCGGCCTTGCAGGCTATCTCTTGCTCCAGCTCCGATACTTCGAAGAGATTACGCTTATTCGAAATGCTTGACAGTTCTCCCATGATGCATAAATGCTTTTGTACGGTGCCAGACATTTTCTTGAACTGCGGATAGGATTCAATGAAGTTCTTCATATCATTAATGCTCTCGACTTTCTTGTGATCATTCGCCTTGCGCTGAAACTCCTCCATAAGCTGTTTAATGGTAGAGCCAATCTCACCGTAATTTGCATACATATTGCTGCCATAAAACTCATCCTGGTCACCAGAGAGCACCAGCTCCTTGAACTCCTTGGGCACATTAGGGCGTTCAGACAAGTCAACGCGATTGTTGCGTATATTCAGCAGCTCGTGTACCATGGCTTGATAGGACCATTGATGCAGCAATGGTGTCACCGGGTCATCTCTGCGGTCCAGCAACAGGAGCAACGGTGGCGCAGCCCCATCTACATTGCCGCGGAAATCGAATAGAGATGATTCCTTGGTCGTCTGATCGTAGATCAATTTGGCTAGCAGCTGTGCCACTTGTGAGCCGGCACGATATCGTATGACCGGATTCAATTTGAGCGACAGTAGAACAGCCGTAATGCCCTGCACGCTGCGTGTCAATGAATCGGGCAGCCAGTTAAGATTTACCATACAATTGGGTAGGTTCAGGGAGAATAAATTGGGATTAACGCACAAGTAGTCCGCATACAATTCCTTTACCTCACGCACAGATTCTGACTCATCGCATTCAGCCAGATATTTAATATCAGTGCGCGGTATGATATTGCTAAAATCTGAATAAACCAATTAGTGTGAATTCTTTTTAAATGTTTCTACCATCTGTTACACTTACATATAAAGTAGGCGCTATACTTGGGATTGCGTAGCTCGTTGGCCAGCAGTTGGATATTTTGCTTTGTGGGGCGTATGAAAACAATGCATTTCAGGTACTTTAAGCGTTCGTTCGAACGGCCAGAATCCAACCGTTCAAAGAGATACACCTCACGCTGCAGCATATCAGATTGGCTAAAGGCCATTGAAATAATGCTTGTCTAAAAATGAAGTAAATGTTAACAGTGAGAACTTTAACAAGCCTTCCGAGCTATTACATACCGTTTCTTTGTCTAACAATATGATTTTCATGCCTGGTCCAGACTCTGTACACATCTTTTCAATATACAATTTAATACCACTTATTAAATTCATTGTTAAAACTAATTTTTTACTTTGCCAATAAAGTGGAAAATATTTAATTTGTGTAAACAGCTGTTGGCAGCGATGTGAAGAATGTTCGCCACCCACCCCAATAAAAGTACTCATTTGTTATCGATACTTATCGATCCACAAAAGCGCGCTTGAGTCCATTCAAATAATTATTTACATTATGATGCTTATAACAGTCTTGAGAATGTATACATTTATATTTATTTTCTCTTGTGTTTATGACAAAAATCACAACAATTCTATTAAACTATTACATGTAATTAAAAATATACTTGGAGCCTCAAACATTTACAAACTTAAGCAGCAAGAATCACGTTTTTTAAGGCAACAATATCTGACTAATAAAAAAATGGTCAGTCGCTTAAACTAAAGCACAACTTAATATAAAACGCAATGGTGCGATATGCGACATATGTACGTTGTGCGTGTTCACATCATTAGGAGTTTTCAAATGTGTACTATGGTTTACTGAGCAACAATTGGCTTCTCCTCCTTCTCCTTGTTCAGTTTTTCCTGCTCTATTTGGTAGTTGTAGGCGCGTCCCAGCTGTACCAACTGCGTCAGTCCCACAAACAAATTGACAGCAAACAAACTGTAATTTTTGGGTATAATCACCAGCGAATAACGTGACCAGATAATGCCTGTGGCAGCCAGTGCACCGCAAGCTGCTACGGAAATTGTGTCCGCCGGACGAGTCAAGTCACTTAACCCAGCAATGACAAGGCCCTATAAAAATGTTGATAATTATAATTAAAACGCAAGAATATTTATGTTCATTTAGATTTCATGTTGTGATTAGAGCGTTATCATTATTAAAGCGTGTGCAACTCTCTATGTATAATATATACGAAATAGTCTAGTAATAAAATAATAATAATATAAACGTATATATGTATGTTAATTAACATTAGACATTACGATTACAGTGTTAGCTACTGTTATCGTTTTTCTAGCATGTGAATTTGCAACTGTAATATAAATAAATACTTGAAACCCAATAATAATTCGCACGCAAGCACACTAATGCACACTTATCGCGTGTTGCCTCTTCAAACGACCAGCTGCGTGGAACAACAAACACATTACACTCAACAAGTTTTGCTCTGGCAGTATAAACAAATATTCATCAAAATTAATTCGCGCACTCTCGGAGATATTTGTGTATTAATGTCATTCAGATTTGCTATATCAGCAGCAGACAGAGATAATGAAAAATAGCGAAGGTCATGCAGTCTGTATTATGTAACAGGCTGTCTGTCAATCTGTCTAATATAGTTTGCTTACCCATTTAAAAATCGGTGCCCAGAAGAAAACGGTTTTTGGACCTGTCAAATAGTTAAATGTAAATACAAATTCGACACGTGGAAAGTTTCATAAACATATGGTGGCAAAAAAATTTATATTTCTGTTTGTATATTCTCACCTGCAGGATGCATCCAAAGTGGGCGCATTTTAGCTGGCACAAATTTGTCGCAGACGCCAATCATGCCATTGTATATCTTTGTGTGAATGCCCTTTCCAGCGGCCGCAGCAGCAGCTGGTGGAGGTGGTGGCGGTGCGGGTGCGGGAGCTGCTGTCGATGACATTTCGTTTGTACGAAATAAACGGCGAATAAGCAAGCAGAATCAAAATCCAAAGAAACCGATGCAGCCGCGAGCTTTGACTAGTGTACGGACAGACAGTTTCAACCGTACTAAATTGATTCAGCGTTCGTGAATAACAAAAGCGTAGACTTCATTAAAATACATAACATACCTTGACGCTCTCTCTCTCTCTCTCTACGTTGTATGTATGCTTGTGAGAACGTGAGGGGGTGCGAGAGCGCAGACCTACTTATACTCAACACACGAATCTCAGCTGAGAGGGCTATTATGTGAAAATTTAGACTTTCTAAAAATCAAATTACATGAAAAACAAAAACGAACAGGTTTTACTATCCACTTTTAGATTTTTTCATTCTCTCCAATTCTCTCTCACATTGCCCGTCTACTCTCAACGCATATGAAAACGCAATGTCCTTGGCCTTGACAATCGTTAAATGGTGCCGCCAATTTCCGCAGCGTAATGTTGACGGAAGCATCTAAAAGTGCAATCGAATGCAGTCGCAAGACAACTACAAATACAAATTTACAAGATGCTAAATATAGGAATACAGATGTAGGTTATATCGTTTCTTGCTCTGAGTGTATCACGCGACAATTGCAATGCACACATATGTTTGTCTGTTTAAGATCACATGCATGTAATATTCTTGAATATAAAATATATTTTTATTTTACAAACTATGATTGCAGTCGAATTTTATATAAGGTATTATTATTAAATTTTTATACAGAAAAAATAGAAAATAGAAAAAAGAGTCATTTCCACCGTGCAATCAAATATTAAAATTCAGCACCTGAAAAATGAAGGCAATGAGAAAACGGTTTCAATCGATAGCAAATCGACTGTATCATCAATTATCCAACACTGCTAGTGACCCTCTGGTTCACTCTAATGGAATGTATGTATGTATGTGTCGCACAGCCTCTATCAAATTTAAATACGCATACATACATATCGTGTGATTCACAATACATACAGCTCAGGCAATCAACTCTCAGCACAGTGGGGCAAAATGCAAAAACATTTACATTTTTGAGCGTCTATTGCGCAGCACTCATATCGTATGTATGTGTGTACTTATATACATATACATATGCCTCAGCTGTAACCTGATTAGTTTTTTTGCCCAGCTTTGAGCTGCAGACAAGTAAACACAAGTGTTTCCTTTTTTCCAGAACGTACTCATATGTAGGGTGTTTGCATTTTTCCTGAAACTGTAAATAAAACTAGAGAATATGTACGTGATTTTTGTTGTATCGTTTTTCATGTTAGAAATGTATATGTAATTTCAATTACAAATCAAAGGCGTACATGTCATTAAAATTATTCATTACAAATCAAATAGTTCTACGATTTTTATCATTCCTGTGTTTTGTTGTTGATTTTATTTGATGTTATTCTGGTGTTTGCTTATTATTTAGCACATATTTTGCAGATGCAATATTTCGTTTGCGCCTTTGCAGCTGTTTTTCAAAAATTAATTTATTTATTTGGAAGTGACGTTTTAAATTTTAACTTAATCAATTCAATGAAATCATAAATAATCTTAAAAGGATTTAGTTACCGCAACATGCATCAGACAAACTTTAAGAAATTCTCCACCGCTTTACTTTATACTTTTCTTTAATAAAATATGTATATTGCAAAACAAAGAATTTATAAAATATTATTTTGCGCAAACGATTTCAGGCTTTATGTCTGTGTGTAACCAAGCTGTCATATAGAATGTGCATTAATTCTTTTTTTTTTTGTTTGTTTTTTTTTTTTTTTTTTTTTTTTTTTTTTTTTGCTGTCAGAGTTTGTTGGTGTAGATGGTAAGTGGGCACAGAGTATCGTTCGAAATTGAATTGCTATATGCTCTATATATACCAATGGGGTATACATCAATTTAGATGTGTGTTATCTCTGTTTACGCTATTAAAAGTTGAAGGGATTCATTGGTACTTTGTCTGTATTGGGATCGAAGCTGTATTCTGTGCCATCAGAGGCCGGTGCCAGATTAGATTGTTCGCCCTGTAAGTGTCAATTGATGGAAATGAATTAATATACATATAATCAATGGTTTTGAGAATGAATAAAGCGTCTACCTCAGTAAAGTATTTCTCAATAATTTCGTAAGCCAACTTGTAGATCTCAACGTTCTCATGGTTTTGCAGACGTTCGATTTTAGCGAGGCCTTCGCACTCCTCAATCAAATTAGCAACCTCCTCAACGTGTGATGCGGCCACTTTGAGCATATTATTGAGACCATCGAGCACGACCTTTAAAAATAAAAAATAATGTTTCTAAACAATCTATAGTTGTGAGAGTTGCGAGATCTTACATTGATCACTTGAGTGTCCTGGCATGAGAGCAGATCGCAGAATGGCGGTATGACCCCTTCTTGTATTAATGTAAACACCTGCTCGGGTCTGCCGCTAATAGTAAGATTACTGATGGCCCAGGCTGCCTCTTTCTGTGTCTGGAATTCGCCCTTGCTCAGGTTGTCAATAATTTTCGGGAGCAGGCCAACATTGATGACAGCCTGTACCTGGGATTCGTTGCCGGCGGTGATGTTTGATAGAAACCAGACAGCTTCTTTGCGTATCTTTTCCTTTGGATGCGACAGTAGCGCAGGGAAATACGATAAAGCATCGTAATTGAGCACCACTTGTGTCTGTTCATCCGATCCGGTTACAATATTTCCCACCGCACGCAAAGCAGCTGTCTGCACCTTCACTTCATTGTTGCCCAGAAGCGGTATCAGCTTTGGCACTACACCGCTATCAATAACCATTTGGATTTGATCGTTGCCGCCATCGGTCAAATAGCTAATGGCCCAGACCGTATCGACCAGGATGTTTGTGTCCGTGTGATGAATCAGCACATTGAGTGCGGGCAGGATTTCATGAATTGTGGCAGCTGGTGGTGGCGGATCCTTGTTTCGACATAAATTCACAATCACCCAGGTGACATTACGCAAAAACGATATGGGTATATCTGGCTTAATGAACGACAGCAGCGGCTGCACAACGCCATGCTTAATAACAAAGTCTCGAAGCAACGGACCATCGCCAATGATATTGCCTAGCGCCCAAACGGCTTGTTCGCAAACATTTGGAGCGGGTGAGTTAAGCAGTTGAAGGAAGAGCGGCACGGCACCGGCAGCAACCACCTACAGGCCAAGAAGGGAAGAAACAAAATGAAGAATATATCAAATATATGATCTGTGATTAATCAGCCATGCATCAGCAATATATGTAGAAATCATTTAACAAAGTTCCAATGGCATTATTAGGCTTAATTGTGTTTGCACCCATTACGGAATATACAACAAACAGAAAGTGACATCTTTGACCCCATAAATTACATGTGCACTATACTTATATGCATATGTATATAATATACTCAAGTCAGTATCAATTGCTGCGCTAATATGGCTTTTACTCGCCAGTCTATTTCTATGCACGTTTCTCTTCTATGTCTTAGCTTTAAATTCGCCATCTATATCTCATATATGCCTAATGTCTGATATAGGACTGCAAGAGCATTTGTTGACTTTCGTGGTACAGTAATATGAACAGCACTCACCTGATTGGTTTGATCAGAAGTTCCTGAGGCGATGTTGGTCAATGCCCATGCGGCCTCGAATTGGAGCATTGTGTGATTATGTTGCTTCAAGCATTCAACTAGAATTGGCAATATATCGCTGTTAATCAGATCATCAATGGGTGGATTTTTGTCCGATGACAGCAATTTGCGTGCCGCTTGAACAGCAGCCAACTGTTGCTCCGGTTTTGATGGATCGGATGCGGCCTGGCCAAGTTTCTTCAAGTTGATTGAATTGGGTAACTGCTCATCCTCATCTGTGTTCGAGTCGAGGTTAGGCACATTACGACGCTTCAGAATTGTTTCATCGCGTTTACTTTTGCGCAGTTCTACGGTAACCTCATTTCGCCGACGGCGCATCTCCTGTTGATTGAATGGTTCAAATTAATTTAAAGTTTAAACAATTTAAGCAAAACTTACATCTTGATCTTTTCCTTTGTTTTTAAAGTTTTGCAAACGATTTTGATCCAGCGATGTCATTTTACTGTTTCAATGTGTGTGTTGGTAAATATATATATGTACGTGGAAAATATGTCTGTATATATAACAGCGCCAATCCAAACTGAAATACCTATGCTTTTATATTTCCAAATAAGGTCGTGGCTTTTAGGTTTCGGTTTTTTTTTTTTTTAATTATTTCTTTTTTTTTTCGTTGTCCACTTCTGTAGTTATTTCAATTATACGCGGAATGAAAATTTAACCGCATATACACAAATACCGACACAAACAAAAGGCCATCGTGCGGGGTATAGCAGAGAGCAGTGTAGACAGACGTCCGTTCGTTAGTTCCGACAAAATCGACATCGAGAGAACCAACACAATTGCACGGCAGAGCAGCAGCACGATGACAATGATAGTCGTTCAAAGGAAAGAGGGGAAGAAGGGCAGAGCCACCAGGCGATGAAAATTTATGAAAAAAGAAATGGCGTTAAGAAATGTTTGCTACGTGTAACCAACTGTTTGATTTACTAATGAATAAATATGTTTTAAATTTGGCACTTACTTTTACGTTTTGACACCGTACAGGCCTTTGATATAGTGATTAAACCTTTTTTTTTTGATATAAAAATTGCAATTCGTGACAGCGACGTGACTAAAGTTGGCTGCGCTTCAATTGATCAGGGCTGTAAAATTAAAAACATCGCTGCAAATAAAAATATCGGTATTGTGACATCACTATTAGGTATGTGCAAAATGTTTTTTGGTAATATTTTGGCCAGAAAATCTATCGATTGATATGATTTAGGCGTGCAAAAACTGAACCATTTGTGTATATATGTATATTTACACATTAAAAATAAAATCCAACTCGATGCGAATAGATATTACTGTGCGCTGCCATATGACGCTAGTGCGGAAATGACTGAAAAGACGGAGAGTACCAGCACACTTGAACACCAACCACGGAATTCACAGACCACATCAGATGCTCCACTGGTCCTCAACGTGAAACGTGAGAAGATTGATGTAGAGATCGAAGCAAAGCTTGGTGCATTGAATGCGACGGTCAAAACTGAGAGTACCACTCCCCCAACGGCATCGGGCTCGGACAGTGATGGGAGCAACAGCAATGATTCGTCACAAGACGACAAAAAGCAAATTGCTCCCGTTAAATCCTCTAATGAAATACTTGCCGAACTATTTGGTGTCTTTAATGCAGCGCCACCCGTTGAGTTGTTGGACGACAAAAATCTGCTAAAAAAGCATAAAAGATCAAAAAAGGAAAAGAAAAAAAGATCGCGCAACAAAGAAATCAAGTCCGATGGTGAGTGCAGTGACACTGATATTGCGTCTGCTGAAGGCAAGTCCAAGCATAAGCACAAGCGAAAGAAACATAAACACAAGCACAAGGATAGCAAAGATAAGAACAAGGACAAGGATCGTGAAAAATCCAAAGAGAGGACAAACGCGACTACAGCCAAGGTACAGGAGGAAAGAACGGACAGTCGTAAGAGACCCGCTACAGAAGACGCAATAGATGTGCCGGCCAAGAAGGAAGCAATAGATCACGAACATAGCATTCAACGGGAAAGAGAGCGGACACGTGAGCGGGAGCGAGAGAAAGAAAGAGAGCGTGAGCGCGAACGTGAGCGAGAGCGGGAGCGGGAGCGGGAAAGGGAGCGTGACCGTGATCGTGAACGTGTTCATAATAGCTTCTACAATGGCTACCAAGATAAACAGGAGGACAAGCAAGCACGCAACAAGGCCAACAATGGGAAATCCGTAAAGATTAAAACGGAGCGCCGCCAATCCGACGAGCTTTCGCTGTCTGACGAGGAGACATATTTGCGCGAAAAGGCCAATAATGGACGACGTCGTTTCTACGGAGCTTTTAAGGCCGAATCTACCGATAATAAACGCCATCCACGACACCAGAGCAGCACAAGCACCAGGCAGCGTACACGCACTCGCTCTCGCTCCCGAACCCGTTCCCGTTCAAGAGACCTAGGCATTGATAAGAAGCGTTTGCTGGAGATTGCGCGCCGTAATGCAATCAATATGTTTAAGCGAGGCAACATGGCCGGTGTGGCCCAGATGACGCCGGAGGTGAAGGATAAGGTGCTACTTAAAATGCGTTACGGTGGGCGCAGCGTACAGGATCTCACGGACTTTTGCAAGAAGATCTCCAACGGGGAAATTCTGTCTGATTTTAGTTCAGATGAGGACTCGGATGTGGACAAGAATGGCAATGCCAAGGCATTCCATCATCCATTTCAGCTCAAGGAGCGCGAACCGATTGTTATGCACATACGAAACTCCACACCCATAGTGCCGCCGTCCACGCGCCGCGATGAGCAGACGAAGGCTATAACCATGCAGTTCCCGGTCTCCTCTGGTCAGGTTCATCGCATGTCAGAGGCCTGGGTGCCAGTAGATCCAAAAGAGTCGCTGACGCCACTGCCTGCTCTACCACCGGCCAAGCAGGCCACAAATATGTTCAAGGATGTGCAACGAAATGTCTTCGCTAAGACGATTCCCCAGCAAGAGCAGCAGGAGCCCGCCTTCAAGCCTGCTAAGAATCCAAACGAAGGTTGCCCTGGCCAGCCGTCCCTACCTGTAGCTCCATTAGTATCTGTGCCTGTGCCTGCTCCTGCTCATACTCTTATTCCTGCTCCTGCACCTGGGCCTGTTCCTCCTCCTTCAAACGCTCCTACTTTTACGCCCACGCGTTTTGTACCAGAAGTGCCCATACCATCGACAGCAGCGCCTGCACCAAGTACTTCAATATTTCCTCAGGCCACGGAGCCAAGCATGGATGTCTCTAGCATTATTACTCAACGTCTCAGTGCAATAAGGCGTCTGCAGGTAAGTAATCCAAATATAAACAATTATAATATGAGGAAATGAAAATGATAAGTTTTAATAGGATAATCCTGCCGATTCGGAGGCATTGAAAATGATGTACAATGCGCAGCGGGACATGTCTTCCTGGGCCAATTCGAAATTTCTGCCTGGCCAGTTTACGGGCAGCACTGGTGCTCAGATCATGAAGGTGCATGAACTGAACAGCGGTCCGCAATTGTGGGCACGTCGCGATCAGTTGACCTCTAACAAACCCGTTACGGGCGGCATGGGCATGGCTCTACTTCAGAAGATGGGCTGGAAGCCGGGCGAAGGCTTGGGTCGCACAAAGACCGGTTCCCTGCAGCCACTACAGCTCACGGTCAAGCTGGACAAAAGAGGCCTCGTCTCACGCGAAGATATCAAACAGCCGCCGGCCCGCCCACAGGGCACACGACCCCCGAAAAACACAAGTGCCACGAATATTGCACAAGCTGCGCTCACTGCTCAGGACAAGCATCCGGTTTGTGTGCTCAATGAGCTGACATCGAAAAACAAATGGACGCCACCGCAGTATACACTGAAGGACGATTCGGGGCCCTCGCACAGCCGCATGTTCCTCTTCTCCGTGGAGATCAATGGGCAGACCTATACGCCTGCCCAGGGCTGTAACAACAAAAAGGAGGCCAAACTGAATGCGGCCAAGTTGTGTTTACGAGCTTTGGGTATACTGCCGCCCAGTTAGTAAAGAGACGAGCATCTGATTATAGGTGACTCTATTGTAATTGTATAGCTAGGATTATATATATCTATATAAATTTATGTATATGCTTCTGTATATAATTAAGAATAAATGTTAATTAGGAAAACAAGTTGTTTGTAGCAATACATTTTTGAACTCAAGAAAAGCTCCCATATCATATGCATTGTTAGTAGTCTATTGTGAACCAATCTATCGAATTCGAATTAAATTATCGAGCGTTACACTCAAAGCAAATAGAATTAAGAACAGGGAATTAGAATAGTTGAATTGTAAAAACAACTACAATAACAATAAATTAAATAAAATTTAAAATAATTAAATAACTACAAATAAATTTTGTTCAGCCCCAAAGTTAAACTTTTATACATATATGTGAAAAATCTTTATATTTCCCCTTCAAGAGAAGCTCCCTCCAAGCTTGTTTTTCAATTTGCGAAGCTTTGGCGTATTGGCCATCTAAGTTTTGCGCAAGTACACAAACAAAGCAAATCAGCTGAGCGGAGCCAAAAGCTGGGGTGGGCTAACACCGACACATGCGCCCGTTGCAATTCTGTGTGCGTGTGATGGCATGTGGGTGTATGTGTGGGAATTCAATCTCTACACAGACTCGCTTAAGCACACACAGCAAAGGTCAGTTCAGGCGGGAGTGTGGCACAGAAAACATCTCGCTTTTGAGTAAAGATGTAGCAAAATCATCCCGTTATTTACTGCTCCCATCAATAGTTATCCAGGAACACAAACATATATTTGTGAAGTGGTCCAGACTCGCAGCATCCAAATGCTTAAGCTTGCAAATGGAACAGATGTTGATAGCCAATTCCAGCTGTGGCCAAAAACATAAGCTTTATGTGTGCGGTTGTGTGTTTAGAGTTATTCCTAAAGTTGCATAACTTTACATGGACACGAAAACAAAGCCATAAATATACATACATATGTAAATGCTGACACACATACACACTTACATATGTACATGCAAGCCCAAATAGTGTGCATGTTTGTATGTCTGCTGACTGTTGCAATTCGGAGCTGGGCGTTGAGGTTTGATGTTGACTGCTCAGTTTGTTTACCACTGCAGCCATGGAAACGTGTCGCACCTGTGCAAGGTGCGATTTCGAAAATGGCAACAATTATTGGCTGGATATGTTTCATCCAACGCGCTGGCAGAGTGAAATGGCGCAAATTCGCGCAGAGTTTGTTAACTGGAAATTACAGGTGAGACCATGCTAAAGAGTCGGAAATCAAATCAAACAAAGTGCAGTTTACTTTGTGAAAGTTTGTGCACTGCATTTTAAGTAAGCTTTTGATCGTGCAACGGTGCGTATGGAATATCGATAAGACCATCAATTTATCGACATTCAGTGATCTGTGTGTGTTGATCGAAGTACGCAATTTGGCTATAGCGATAACTAATTTGGTAACGGAATTTTGAGAATAGCAAATGTTATTAACGTTGTATAAGTACGTTTACCATGACTTTATATACCTTTCACTGAAATTATTGTTGTGAATCGATTTAATATTGTCTAGATCTCTCCAAACGATGGACTCCCACAAAAAATTTGTAGCGATTGCTTTACAAAGTTCTGTTCCGTTTACACGTTTCGCATTGCTTGCCAGGACGCACAATTAAAGCTTTCGAATATTTTTGATAAAATCGATGCTAACTTACTATATGATAGACATGAAGAAAGCATTGAAGTTGAAGCTCATGATTCAGAAGCAACAACGAAAATATATACAGTAGCAGAAACAGCAACAACGACAACAACAGAGACCACTGCCATTAATGCGGACAAATCGCCCGCGCCCATTGAAATCTTTGTGGAAACCATTAGTATTAACGAAAGCGAATCCTTGCAGGCAGAAGATAAAGAAGCCAACTTAGGCTCAGATTGTAATTTATTGAATATAAGCTATGCTTGCAAGTTCTGTTACAAGCCGCAAGAAAGCTACGAGCTACAGCATTTGTTACTAGAGCACATCAGCGTCTGCCACGATCCAGATCAACCCTACAACTGCCCGGAGTGCACTGAATGTTTTCAAGACACAGCATCGCGTACCGTCCACATGAAGAGCGTTCATGTAGTCAAGCACTATGCCTGTGAAGTTTGCGGTAAAAAGTACGGAGACCGCCACAATCTCGACCATCACATCGAGAAGTACCACTCGGACACGGACTTCGAGTGCAGCATGTGCGAGAAGCGATTTTTTACGCGCAAAAGCCTCCACTACCACATGAACTGGCACAAGCCGGAGCGTCAGCTCCGATGTCGTCACAACGGCTGTGACCGGCTGTTCATCAATCAACGACATCTCATATGTCACGAGGCCACCCACACAAAGGGCTCCCGTAAGAGCGAGTATTGTGGCTTTTGTGGTAAAGGTGGGTCGCCTATTTATAAATATAAATAAATATATGCATATACATATAGACGCACACAAACATTACGCAACAGAAAGTATTCTTTTTAACTTTGTTCAACAATAAAAGAAGTTGCCAGCGAAATAAGAAAACAGAATGTAAGAAATATGCTTAAATAGCGAGTAAGAAAAAAGTTTTGGCTTGGTCGAAAAACTTACAAAACTTGCCTTTAAATTAAATTTATATTTAAATAAATGAATAGAGGCATACATAAACATACCTATACATACATACATTCTCACATAATTACACACCGAAATCTAGATAAGATTTGACATAATGCAGACACAGTAACCCACATATATATTCACATAGTCAAATACACATATTTTCCACAGCATTCATACATGTAAAAACCCTTCGTTGGCATATCTATCGACAGCATGGCGGAGAGAAGCCTTTCAAATGTGCCATCTGTACTGAGGGTAAGTTGAATCTGGAAATAAAAAAGCACTATAAACATATTTAGAATATCAATTGGGAGTTCTCATAAAATTTGTGTTAATATAATAATGGGCAGTTCCAGGCGCAATCATAAATTTAAGATTTTTATATTCTTGTTTTATTTTTTACTTCGATCTGTAATCCAATCTTTAATCTGCTCTGTTTGGAAATGCCCATATATGAAAATTATTAAAGAGATCTCTAAATACTTTAAAGTGCTTAGGCTAAAGTCAAGATTTTTCATTTTGTGAGCTTTAAATCACAGCTCACAAAGGAAAGTTGACTTTCCAAATATAAGTGTTCATTATTAATTCAAAATAAAACATCTGTCGCATCATCAAAACACTCATCGCAAACGCTTTAAAGATATATGAACCCAAAAACTTTGAAGGAGTCTATCTGCTGCTTTTTGTTCTGTGTTAGTCAAGTTAAGGGTAAACATGGCTTAGCTATTTTTTAATACTCCTATTAGAAAACTTAAAAAAATGAAGCATGTCAATAAAAGTTCATACATACTATAATATATAAAACAATATCTTGTCCAAGTTTTATTAATTCCTAGCCTTAGAATATTTTAAATATCACGAAAATCTTGCATAATAAAAAAAAATGTAATAATGCAGCAATCGTATCCAACTGACTGCCTAATACTCGTTCACCGTTTAAAAATGTATGTTTGAAAGTAATCTTTAATCCGTATTCGACAATTATGTATGAAAATTAATACTTTCAATTCATAATGTCAAAATTTTTATCATATCTTGTCAAATTGTATACCATTCGACTTCGCATCTATATATTACCCATATACCCATATGCCATCTTGACCACTTTGTGAACGAGTATAAGATTTCCACAGCCCTGAAGCGCCGCATGCAAGCCACTAATACCCAGTTGTTGTTACATAACACCCCCATAAACTAATGCTATGCTCCACAGATTCCCGATGTTTACTTTAACTTTGACTATCTCTTGAATTTCGTCCACAAAGTGTTTGCCTCCTATGTGGAGAAGCGCATTCATATGCTTGAGATGCACACCGAAAATCTGACGCATCAGGAGCGTAGCGAGTGTATGTTTCAGTCCTGTCGCCAGGAGTTTGATACGGAGCAGGAGCTCATCCAACACATGACCACGGAGCATGCTCAGCGTGAGAGTTCCTCAGCTCCGATCATTGCCAACAATAAGCGAGTGATCCAGTGCAAACGGGAACGACAATATACGGGACTCTTTCAGTGCAGCAGCTGCACTCAACGTTTCAACATGAAGTCCGCCTTGGAGCGTCACATGGCTGTCCACTCAACGGATCGGCTGCATGCCTGCTCGCACTGCTCCAAGCGCTATAAGCGTGCTCAGGATCTTAAGTGGCATATGAAGACCCATGCCAATGTAAAGCCTAATGTGTGCGATGTATGCGGCAAAGCTTTTGCCTTGAAATATGTCTTGACTCAGCATATGCGAAGTCATGAAGGTGAGTAAAATTTGATGTCTTAACTTGGGATACAAATCCGAAATGGAATTACCTTTTTAATATATAGCATATAATATTTATATACTTGTAGTTCTTGAGAAGAATTTCAAGTGTGAGACCTGTGGACGGGCGTATTTGTTCGAGAAGTCATTACGGTTGCATCAACGTGTACACACAGGCAATACCTATTATAAATGCGATCTGTGCCAAGAGCGATTTGTCACTCATATCAAATTTAAAAGTAAATTTTCTCGGCATGGAAATCAACTAAATGTTTTTTGTATATAAACTGTATTGTTATTGTATTTCAGCTCACATGAAGAAGGCACATGATGGCGACCAGTCGCATTCAAAGGATACGCTGGATGATTTGATCAATATTGTGATTAACTAAATTGTACCAATGATATAGAATCCAAGTGGAACAGCAGAAAGAATACTATACAATTATTCCATTAGCAAAGCATCAAAAGAAACACTATGATACTCTAAGGGTGAAACCGCTTTTAAAAAGTCACGCCCAACAAAGAATTTTTAAATCGTAGACCCTCCATTAAATCCTATCATAAGACTACTCTCATATATTTAGCTATACACATTTCAATATGCATCATGCACAGGGTACGGTTGTATGAAAGCTTTATGCTCTGTAGGCAAATTTCATCAAACTAAATCTATTTTCCTTAAAAGCCGCATTTAAGCTCACATGATAAGTATTTTGTCCATCCATTTCTTTAATCTACAATACCTACAAACATACATATGTCTATGTCTCTCACATAATGCACAATACATGACCATTTTAGTGATAGAAAAATGTTATAAAAATGTATTTAATATAATGCTCAAAAAAGATATTGCATTTATTTAAAAAAAAAAGAAGATAATTAAACACACATATTTACATTTACAATTATGAGAAGAAACATATATTAAGCTATATCAATAACATCATGTATATTAGTGTGGTAGTGCAATATATGTACATTTACTGAATTCGAGTTCGTTATATAGAAGTTTTTAATATGTTTACTTAACGTTTGATTTAAAATATGGGAGCGATAACTATCGCAAGTGGTTCGGTGAACCACGTATTAATAACAGCCCTGTTCTTCAGAGAGCTGCCAGAAGCTGCTAAAATCAGATGCCGCTAAGATGTCTGGCAGCACTGTTTTTTGGGCTGTTGTAGCTCGCATAACACGTCAGTGTTTAGGTTTTTAAGCAGCAAGTTCTACCAAAATTTAGGCAAACGTATTTGCTAAAGTGTAATAGCGAGTCGGTTACCGATCGAAATGTACATAAAGCAACAAATTGCATAGTACTATTTATATGATTCTTCAACAAATAAACGATTAAGTTTATAACATTCTTTTGTTCCCAAAAACGGATAAAACTATTCAGAAAGTGCGACAACAACAAACAAAGCACCTAGTAAGCAGGTGCAACGGTAAAGATTAGCAGCTGTGATACATAGACAATCGGAAGAAGAGCTAGACGCTGGCTGCCACGCTATAACGTGTGACGTGTGTAACGCATTTATATAAAAATAATTGGCCAAGACGCTTAGTAAGAACTGGTTAAGGCGCCTACAAACACACCCACTTACACATACACGCATAATGGCTTTGCCATTGAGCGATCTGCTGCTGCTTGGCAGCAGTGAAAAGAAATTGGCTGCCTGCGTCCTGCTGCTGCTTGTGGAGCTTTTCATGGAAGGTAAGTTGCAGTTTTTCCAGAGATGCCACTGAATGTCCCCTATAATACCACGAGTCAACAAATTTGATACCTTTTAACAATAACGGCACGAGTCCATCTCTAAATTAATCTTTAATCGCATTTTTCATACATTGATAACAAATAACAAAATAACGGCTACGATACACGTCATTCAATGCAGGCGCTGATGCGGCATCGGCGAGTCAGGCAGACATCGACAACCATCTGGAGCTAGGCAAAGACTTTCTGGCACGCGGACAACTTTCGGATGCATTGACGCATTATCATGCAGCTGTAGGTAAGTATAGGGCATTATTGCATTATTACGCTTGAAATTAGAACACGTATTAATTTACAGAGGGTGATCCCAACAATTATTTGACGCTCTTCAAGCGTGGCACCGTTTACCTTGCCTTGGGCAAGACCCGGTTTGCCATTCAGGACTTCAGCCGAGTGCTGGAGCTTAAACCCGACTTTACAGCAGCGCGTAGTCAGCGTGGTATTGTGCACATGAAGAGCGGAGACTATGATCATGCACTGCAGGACTTTGAGCTTGTACTGCGGGAGGAGCCGCAAAATAGTCTCGTCCTCGAACACTATGCAAGAGTGCGGCCAGCCAAGGAGCAGTGGGAACTCGTGCAGCGCCTGCTAAACAATAATGATGAACAGAATGCAATAGGCATGATAACACAATTGCTAGAGGTCTCACCCTGGTCAGTGACCTTTAGACAGGCCCGCTCTGACGCCTATTTAAAGACAAATGATCCACTCTCGGCTATTGCGGATTTGCGACAGGTGAATCGATTGTCGCAGGACAGCACAGAGGGACATTATAATATAGCACAGCTGTTATATAATATTGGACATGCTACTAATGCGCTGAAGGAGATTCGCGAATGCCTCAAGTTCGATCCCGAGCACAAACTATGCTTTCCATTCTACAAGAAACTGCGCAAAGTGGAGAAACAGCTAGTGACAGCAGAGACGGCACGAGAGGAAAAACGGGCACCCGAATGCATAGTTGCTGCCGAAGCGGTTCTCAAGCACGAGCCCGAGGAGACTATGATACGGTATGAAGCGCACAAGCTGCTCTGCTCCTGCTACACCACAGACGAGCAGTACGGCAAAGCGTTGTCTCACTGCAAGCATGCGCTGGACATTATGAAAGATGCACAGCTGTATTGTGATCGGGCCGAGGCGCTGATGGGCAGTGAGATGTATGATGATGCCATACACGACTTTCAGTCGGCGTTGGAAATGGATGAGAATAATTCACGGGCCAAGGAGGGCATCCAGAAGGCCAAGAAACTGCAAAAGCAGGCGGAACGTCGAGATTATTACAAAATACTTGGCGTGAAACGCAATGCCAGCAAACAGGAGATTGTAAAGGCTTATCGTAAGGCGGCACAGAAATGGCATCCGGACAACTTCAAGGATGAGGAGAAGAAGCTGGCAGAGAAGAAGTTCATTGATATTGCAGCGGCCAAGGAAGTACTCACAGATCCAGAGAAGCGGCGTCAGTTCGACAACGGCGAAGACCCCCTGGACCCGGAGAGCAATCAACATGGTTTCCGAGGCGCAGATCCATTTGCACACTTCCAGCACGGTTCGCCGTTCCAATTTAAGTTCCATTTCAATTAAACAGAGCTTAAATAGAGCCATTGTTGAGCCAGGGATTATTTGTGTTTTTTTCCTTCACCTCTTAATGCAGTCATATTGATATCCTTCATATCGCTCCAGCGTGCCTAGATCCGCCACGCTGCATTTTCCTTTTAATCCACGTCCCCTTCAAGCTTTACGATTTTACACTTGTTTGTGTTGCAACTCTAAAATAGCCTGTAAATATTAGCATAAAGACTAAATCCGATAACTGAAACACACACAAGAAAACAAAGATACTGAAAAACAAAAGGATTTACATTTAACTAGTTTATTTAATAAAATAATTGTAATGTAGTACATTTTTCTAATTATATATATATATAAATATAAAAAACAAAATGCAAACGATTATTAATGAAAAACATCGTTTAAAAAAGGCAAGGCTAACGATAAATTTTCGATCTTTCATTGGAACAAATTTATCTTTCACAGTAATGTATGTAATATTTAGGAAAAAATAAACAAAAAATCCAGTTTTCAATAGGAAAAGAAGCAAAATATCGTCAATAACCAAAAGGCTGCAGTTTGTTTTAAAATTATATCAACATTATTTCTGAAACTAAAAATGTATTCTGGTTTCCCAGCCTAAAAAAATGCTGACAGCAAGTCAATTATTTTTATTTTTTATTTTTGGTTTTATTTAACAGTTTAATAGCAGCAATAAAATACCAAATTCAGTGCTACAATTATATTATTATAGATAACCAAAAAGAAGAAAAATGCTCTAATCGAGAAACATGGGAAGAGAATATTAAGTTAGTAAGTTACATCAAAAATCAAATATATTTGGGATCATCTCTTGAGATGCTTCAGATTTCATCATGTCAGTCAGAAATTATTATTTAGAATCAGTTATCAATTGTTTGTTCGTTATTTATCTAATATGCATTTATAACAATTTTAATACACTGCCTGTACACGAGAATATTTTAAGTAAAACCATGACCAAAAGTCGAGAAGTTTCCAGAAATAATTCATATGGAATATGTAAAAATGTTCTGTATATAATAATTTTACATACAGTGTTTTTATATATTAATATTCATGTATAATCATATATAGATATGTTCTCGTGTTGCTTCAGACAGCGGGAGTGACTATCACATATATTAACGTGGCTAATATGACTGCCACTGTTAGACAGAAATAAAACTTGAGATTATATTGACGATCTAGGGATTCCATCAGCTCTCGAAATTTCTGCCTGGTAGCATTTGGATCCTCTTGGCGAATCGTTGTACGTATTTGTGGCCTGGCCAACGGTGAGGACCTCTTCCTTGTATCCAGCTGGCGCGAAAAATGACTCAAGTAGGGCGATTCGCCAGAAGAACGCTGCTGTTGATGCAGGTACTGCTGCTGCTGGGGTTGGCGTTGAATCTCCGGCTCGGATTCACTATCCGTATCTGTGTCCATCGGTTCAACAGAGTCGTTGTGCTGATCATAGAAATCATTTAGCTGGGGATACAATGTGTTCACATTGTACGTGGGCAAGCGTCCTCTGGCAGATCCGGTTTCTACATGGCTTGGACGCTGTCGTATTCCTGATGTTGTTGCATTAGCCATATTGAAAGGCGCCGCCGAGCCACTGTAAGTATTGCGAAACGCCTGCTGCATGCGAATCTCATTGAATTGATTAGGTGCTTCATAGCTGGTTGAGTTCAACTGTGTTTGGGTCAAATTTTGCCGGGACAGCTCTGGGCGATAGCTGCGTTCAACGTGCTGCTCATATACGGGTAGCTTGAATGCAGGTGCTGTAGTAGTCGCCTCAGGTCGCTGGTAGGTATAGCTTTGTGGCTCTTCTAGCTGTTCGTCGGGTTCTTCCTCGTAATGTGGCTTCTCCACTTCGCGTGTGTATGACGTGGTTAATACGCCGGATTTGCTTAGCGAGACAGAACGACGCTGACGAGAATCATCTCGCTGGGGCTTAAGGCTTGTTGGTGTATTTGTTTGGTAGTAGTAATCATCATCTTCTGATGAGCCCACATCGGACACGGTTGTTGTTGTTTCTACAGAACGCACAGACGAACTTTCTAGCGGATAATATTCCTGAGGCGTGGCTGCAATAGTTCGCCGAGTGTTGTTAATGATATTGTTGTGCCTCGGAATTTTATCTGCCGATCGCGACTTATTCGCTTTTGTGGCATCTGCCGGTGTCGTCTTACTGCTGTGCACGGTTTCACGTCTTGGCGTCTTTGTGGCAGCAGTTTTGTTGCTTTGCGTGCCTAAAATAGTGTTGCGCAAACGACGCAAAATTACTTTGCGACTAGTATCGGTGACCGGTATATTTGGTAGTCCATGTTCCAGGCATTTAGCGTGCAGCTCTTTGTTGGAAATCGTTTCGAGATAGGAAAGATCCGACATGCTTACGTCTGCTTGTGAAATTGTAAACAAAAATAGTGATGTCGTCACCTTTTGGAATGCGAATGTAATTGACCTTCAGTTCGGCACAAAAGAACTTATTAATATTATATTATTATTATATATAAGCAGTACTTGTAATTGGCATATATACGCAGTACTTGTAATTATTACACTAAGTTTTCATTAGAAGAATATTCAAGAGTTTTCGAACAAAAGGACGCTTCGGCTTAGCAAGACTGACTGACTGACTGTTTTGCCTTTTAAACAAATACTAATCGGACTGACAAGCACATTCGATATCCATTTGACATTTTATTACTTATCGAAAAAGTCTGCAGAGTCGCTTCATCCCTGGTAGAGCAGTTGTCTATCGGCCAAAAATACCACAACAAAACAATTGTAATTTTGTTTTCCGACAAATAATTTGTGCGCCGCAAACATGTCGCTAACAGTACGAATTTTTACACTCTCGCGTAATGGTTAGTAAAAGCACAGTGGTAATCATTAATACAATATAATAAACACAATTATGGTTCATTTAATCGAATGAGGTTATGTAACCTTATGTCATAGAGAAAACAAATCTTCAATAAATTCAAGTTTAGTATTTGAATAAAATAATATAATGATTTCTAATCAGGTCAGCGCATGTTTGGCACCAACGGCGCACGCCTGTTTGCCGCCCAAAAGGAAGCCAAGGACATAGTGCCTGTGCCCAAGGGCTATGTTTACGTTAACAACAAGGAACTGAGCATGGATTTGGATGCTATCACAGATCGTGCTGCCACCTCAATGTTTTTTGGCGAGCTGTTCCGTGGCTTTGCTGTAACACTGGCACACATTTTCAAAGAGCCGGCAACGATTAACTACCCGTTCGAGAAAGGGCCACTGAGCCCACGTTTCCGTGGCGAGCATGCACTTCGTCGGTATCCAAGCGGCGAGGAGCGCTGTATTGCCTGCAAGCTTTGTGAGGCCATTTGCCCCGCCCAGGCTATCACTATTGAGGCCGAGGAGCGTGCTGACGGCAGCAGGCGCACGACTCGATACGATATTGACATGACCAAGTGCATATATTGCGGTTTCTGTCAGGTAATTTATACATATAGATTACATTTTGATTGTGGTTAATAATTCTTTAATTAATAGGAGGCCTGTCCAGTCGATGCGATTGTTGAGGGTCCAAATTTTGAGTTCTCGACGGAGACGCACGAGGAATTGCTATACAACAAGGAAAAGCTCTTGTGCAATGGCGATAAATGGGAATCAGAGATTGCATCCAACTTACAAGCCGATCATCTGTACCGCTAATTCTTCTCTGTACATATTAGATTTTTGTTTAGAAATGTTTTTCCAATTAAAGAACTTCGGGTAACACTGATAACATAGACACATTTATGTGGTTATTGTATTCGCATAAAAAATCGATACTAAATAATACAATTCGACATTGGAATAAAATACATTTCGATTTATTGTCCTGGACCGGCCAAACTCTTCTCCATGAACTTCTTCTTCGCAAAGCAAGTCCACCATTTGTTTGGCTTGCCATCCTCGGTGTTAAATACCTTCTCTAACACACGATTGCCTGTTTCATGGCGCAGCTGTAAAATATACTGTCGCATAAGATCGGCATCCTGTGAGCTTTGAGGCTTGGCATAGACCGAATTTAGTGGAAAACCTGATTCGCCGGGTATATCGAACTTAGAAATAGCTAGGCTATACATTTCTTGTTGACCCTGGGCCTTGCTAGTGCAACGTGTCAGCCGCTTAAGACATTCGGTTATATATAACGTAACATAGATTAGAACTCGATCCACCTCCGACTACAAGCAATATATTAAATATATTAGTGTTGCATTTTTATTAATCTGTAGTCCAATACACACCTTCACTTCGTATGTCCGGAAGAATACATTTGCTTTGAAGAAATAAAGTGACTCATCAATAATATCATTTTCCGTATTCGTAGATGGGGCTGGTCCACGCACCTGGGTACGCAATGGTAGAATGGCCATGTTGCCTACCTGTTGACGAAAGTCCTTAATTTGCGAGTGGTATGCCTAGAAAATATGTAAACAATGGATACGAATTTTATATGTAGCCATCTCTGTGTGTGGTCCAGATGTTCGACAAAAGCTCGCTTTTATCAATGATTCTAATTAAGTTCATTTAGTGAGTATGGCATTCAACCCATGTACTCACCGGCATTGTTAAGATAAAATAATTTGCGGCTTTTAACTAAAGTTTTCGGGTTTCTATAAATTATTTGAGCAAACACCCACTGCAAATTATTAAGAGTGTAACCGAATTTTAAAAATCCCGAAATACCAAGAGATGCCCATGAATAAAATTGTCAACCTATCGATATACTTTACGATATATTTATATGTTATATTTCCTTTAAAATAGCGCGCTCATTGTCTGAAGCAAACTTTTGTGCAGTCCATCGATAGAAATGAAATAGACGGCGGGCTGGGCATTTAATGTCATTTATATTTGCATTCGTAAATAATATAACTTTCATATGTTAGAACGATAAGAATTCATTCTCAGTTTTTGGCGTTTTCTAAAATGGCAAAGAAAAATAAATCGAAAGCTGCTAAAAAGAAGGTGACAAAAATGTAATTATAGTATAACGATCTTACATTCTAAGCAAGTGTTTATGGTTATAGCTAGCTGACGAGGCTGCGCTTAAGAAGCAAGCGAAGGAGCAAAAACAGCAATCAAAACATAATACCGTTACATCTGATCCGAAGTCCAGGAAGAAGAAATGTGTTAATGATACGGGTATCGATGTAAATAATCTAAACGAAATAAGCTCAGTACGTGCGGAATCATCAGATAATATTCATCCACATAAGATGCAGTTGGATTCTATTGCCACAATATCAACGCGTCTTGACGACCATATAATAATGATCAGTGCTGTACAGAAACAGTTGGCTGAACTCCAAATTAAGCAAGTTAAATTACTTGACGGATGCCTTAATTTTTTTCATGAGTTGCAGGGGTTTCATGCCCAAAATGAGGAGGAAGAAAAACTGTTGCTGGAAACATTTTTGGAATTAAAAACTAAGATTAAAATTGTTTTTAAGCACTATTTACCCTCACAGGTAGATATGATGGAACGTGATATGAAGATACTTCAATCAGATGACAATACGAAGCAGTAATTTAAATATTCATTATAATTTTTTAAATATTATTTATATCGATACATGCATTCAATTTAAAATAAAACATCGATAGTTTGATTAGAATTTCCTTGATATGCATTCGTGGCGAACTATATCAGTGAGAAGAAGAAGCAAAGCGCGAAACTTGTGTCAAAATAGATTTAAAATTTACATTGGTTTTATATAGAAATGAGTCCACCCACAAGCCGTGGAGCTTCCAGATTTGTTCGTGGAAAAGCACGTGGTGGTGGTGGCTATCGCCCTTATTTCTACTTTCGACGAAATGGTCGCGTCATTCCTGCTGGTGGGAATCGCCAGGCGGGACCAGATCAAGATTCTGCTAGCAGAGACACTGCACAGCCACGAGGCTGGAATCGTGCTCGGTCCGAGATCGGTGCTGGTCGTAAACGTGCCACTAATGCGTCACTTGATTGCAGTTACTTGCGCCCGGAAAACTATGTTGCTCCAGAAGATGCACTACAGGTGCGCAGTCTTCTTGTGGACAATCCTCGCGCGTGTCCTGGTTGGCGTTTGTATTTTATGCGAGAGGAGTACGTCGCAGATAGCGAGATGGCTAAGCGTATCGTAGCTGTCGAAGCGCACTATCAGCGTAATCCCTTAATATATAATGTAGCACGCATACGTCAAAGTGGATACTTCCTGCTTTCAGCGCCGGTAATCCTCAATGACGAGCAGCTAAAGCTAGTGTGGCCAACACTGAAAGAGGATTTGCAGAAAAAGCCACTGCGCACACTGTCTGCAGTGGCCATGGCCATGCATACAGTTGTCGTCAACAATGGCCTCGACGTAGCTGCCGATGAAGCGGCGGACAGCATATTGCCCATGGTAACCACCAAGGATACGTATGTACCACGGCGTGGACGCACACGCAAGATTTACGTACGTCCCGAAGACTTTGTGCCAGTGGAGCTGATCAGCAGCATAAGCCACGCTCGTGTGGACAGCATGTTCGCAGTGCGAGGTATTGTAAGCAGTGTTGGCGAACCCACCTGTGGGCAGGCCTGGCAAGCCTTCCGGTGCACACGCTGCCAGACAGAACAGTCGCTGCGCCAGCGTGGAACCTACTCACCGCGTCCATATCACTGCATGAAACCTCTCTGCAGTGCCAAGGACAACTTTCTGGCGCTGCGCAACTCACCCTATACGAGACTTTCAGTGCGCCAGATCATACGGCTGGAGGAGACGAGCATCTCACTGCTGACAGACTATGATAATACACTTGCTGGTGAACTGGACATCGAGCTGCGCCACGATCTGGTGGATTCTGTGCAAGTGGGGCAGGAGATTATCGTCACGGGCGTCCTAAAGCTGCGAGAGCTGTGTGACAACAGTGAGCAGCCATCGACATCTGCGGCCGCAGCGAGCGGGGATACTCAAGCATATCTGCGAGCCTGTAGCGTGCAGCAGGCATCTCATATTAAGCCGGAGTTTAGCGAACGTGATCTGAAAGTCATTTCCATGATCAACTCGGAGCCCAATAACTTTAAGCTGCTGGTGCAATCCCTGGCTCCGGAGCTGCACGGTCACGAAATGGCCAAAGCAGCCTGCCTGTTGTCGTTGCTCGGCGAAAAAATCAATGTGCTGCTTGTGGGCGACCCGGGCATTGGTAAATCCAAGCTGCTACAGAATTGCGCACAGATTTCCGAACGAGGCGGCTTCGTAAGTGGTAAGCGTGGCAGCCAGGCGGGTAATCAATTGGGAACTAGCTTCAGCGGACGCAGCAAGCGGGCAATGGATGCAGGCGCACTGCTCACGGCCAGCACGGCTGGACATTGCATGGTGGATGGCGTGGATAAGTTGGCCTCCAAGCAAACGTTGCTCCTGCAGTCTATGCAGGCGGGTCAGCTAAATGTGGTACTGCCTGGTGCGTTTGCCTCCTACGACGCGCAACCAGCGATCATAGCCTGTGCGAATCCTCAACGTGGCCAGTACGATCAGTCCCGCTATCTGTTGCAAAATATACGGATTGCTCCTGCGCTGCTAAAAGAGTTTCATTTGGTCTACGTGCTGTTGGACAGGCCGTCAAAGACGCGTGATATATCCCTCACAGAGCATGTGCGAGCTCTGCACGCGGGCTCCAAAAAGCGTTCCCAGATCGCTGCACGCTTCGTACTAAAGCCCAAGAAAAGCGATTCCATGTGTGAGATTAATTTGAATGATGTTCCCGCTGCTCAGCCGAAAGCTGACGAAGACGATGATGACGACAGTATTCTGCAGCAGGATTATGATTTGGATAAGCGATTGGATCATAGCATCCAAGAGCATGGCGAACTGGATCTGTTGCCGCCGATATTAATTAAGAAATTCCTTTCTTACGCCCGCCATAATGTCAAGCCACTGCTCAGCGATGCAGCTACCAAAGCCATTAGGCGACATTTCCTGGAGCTGTGCCGCCGCAGCGAAGTGGAGCATGAGCAGAGCCAAATTGGAATGGGGTAAGTTTAGTAGTTTTGTATTATCGATTAGATTCGATAATTGTCGATTTGATAGCGGGATACGGTCAAATGGATTTTTGTGTTATGCTAATCGACTTTATTAAGGCTAAGTTACTTAAGACTAGGTTTCATTAAAAGTAAAATCTTTAGTATAAATAAAAATAAAGTGTAAGTAATGTTGACACTTGCTGAAAGCTCCAATATTACATACACAATATATTTAGCTTGAAGCGTCATCAAATTAATAATTTACCAAGCTGCAAATTACACAATTGTTTAAAAACTTTTAAGCTGAGCTTGATTAAGTTCACTTTAAGCTTTAAGCAAGCGCCATCACAAATTCAATTTTCATCCTTGACTAGCGCATGAGTTTGAGACATGACGATACGGGTAACTCCAAAAATATGGCCAATACAAGTGAACCCAAATAAGAGCCGCATAGTACGTAAAATATATATGCAAACTGAAAGGACAATATGAAAGATTTGAGTAACAAATGGATATAAATATCAATAAATAACATATAATAGTTACCATAGTCCCGGTGCCAAAGTAAATGGGCTCACGCACCGTGGCGAGGGCCACTCGCGCCACCAAGAGATGCACTATGAAGGCGCCATATGTGAGCCGTCCCAAAATCCGAAAGATTGGCAGGCAGGCAAATTTGCGTATGATCCCTTGGAAAGAAATATAGTTTTATAATTGCAGACGTGATATAAATTATTGGAAAGGTTTTCTTAACTACAGCTCTTACAATTATAATTGATTCATTGCTCATTGATCAAAATACTGTAAGTATTTTAAAGTAATTTTTGCCTAATAAATGGAATTGAACTATATCAGACTCCCAATTTTCATGCAATTGCAATTGATCATACAAATAAAACTATCAAAGAAATAAATTAATCAATAAAAATTAAAAATAATTACGCATAATTAAACGTAATTTGCAAATCATCACATTTAATTGCAATTACAATTGCAATACTTATGCCTGGTGTCTGTACTTACATCCCACTTTGGCGGCCATGCCCACGACGAATATGCCCAGGCCAAAGCCCCAAAGGTTGCGCTGCACGGTCGCAAAGAGGGCGCCCCAAAGGCGTGGCGTCTCTGCATAGTAGTGCTGGTAGATGGGATGCGCCATAAAGAGCCAGAGAACAGCAATTGGAATCAGCGAGAACCACATGAATTGGAAGCTGCGCAGCTCGCGCAGTTTGTACTGCCTCGCGGAGAGCTGATCGTAAGCAATGGCCGCCAGGACGCCACAGAAGTAGGAGCCGAAATTCATTTGGAATGACGTATAGAATTCAGTAAACTGACTGTTGCCAATAAACGAGTCCTTCTGCGTTCTGCAAAGTCGAAAGACCAATTTAAAATGTGATTTAATCGAAGCGCATTTTCATTGCTTACTGAGGAGTTGGAAGGAAAACGGGATAATAGTCCAGGATGTAGGTCAGCACACCTGGCAGCACCATAAAGATGCCCAGGACAATGCCATAGATCTGCTTGCTCCAGCGACTAAAGCGATGGCCCAGCATCAGCACCACCAGGCTCAAGGCAAAGGATTGCGTGTCCGAGGCCAGATACCAGCCTTGCAGCAGGCACTGCAAATACGAAAAATTCGAGGAGAGATCAAAGGATATCAAATGATCTAGAGCTGGGAGAGAGAACTACGAAACTTACTCTCTCACATTGTAAATAGATTGTTTCTATATATAGTTTCCAAGATTTTGACTCACCCGCTCATCGGTGCCCACATAATTGTTGATGAAGAGCAAATTGGTCCACCAGTTCTTGCGACAGGCGAGCTGCTCGCGTTGGTAAATGTGCCGCCAGAGCGGGCCGCCGGCATTCTCAAAGTAAACCCCACTCAGCAGAACCACAAAGCCATAGGGCACCGTTAGTCGGATATAGCGAAAGACATTGAACTTGACAAAGAGCGCGGCATACTTGCCGAAGCTCCATGTGCCAAGCTTGTCATCCGCCAAGGCGCGAGTCACCGCCAGCCAGTTGATGGTCAGCAACAGGCCGCCAATCACAAAGAACGTGACGGTGATTAGGGAGCCGGAGATGAGGAGCGTGCCGGCAGCTGTGTGCAGCAGGCGCTCTGGGTCTTGGGGATTGCTGATGGCGCCCTCGTAGATCACCCAATTGGTGTGCGCAAAGATCACCAGGAACATGGCGAAGAACTTGAAGCAATCGAGAAAACGCAATTCGCGTCCGATCTTGCCATTCGGTTCCTGGTTCAGGCGATACCAATTCCTGGCTATGGAGCAAGTGAGCAGCAGGCGCGTGACCAGGCTGCGTGGCGGCGTCTTGTAATGGTCGCGCTCCTTCAACATTTTGTCATGACGCCGACGCTTCAGATGCAAGTCGACGAGGCTGCTCAGGCAGGCCAGCAGAATTAGAACAAAGACCAGCACATAGAAGCTCACGTTCCACAGGTCATCTATGAAGGAGGAAAGGAAGAAAGGTGTAAGAGTAGAGCAAGACTAGTCGGACGGAACTCATTTGGTATATAGGTTCTTCTTCTCTGTTTGAGAGATATCCAATCAAAGGAAAGGCAACCTGGTTCCCTGTAGCACCTACCTTCATTGTTTACTTTGCCAGCTGTTGCGCCCGTATCACAATATTCCACAACACTCCGGGCCTGGACTTCGTATTGTCGCTGTTGAAGGCGCCAGTTGAGGCAGGCGTTGGTCAGATTGTTGTAACGCGCCCGATTGCTCGCCTCCATGTCAAAAAGCCGCACATATACGTTCACCTGCAGCGCAAGAAACCAAGAGATCAGAGGTAAACAAAAGACGTGAGACCCCATCGAATGTCATCAAATCGGACATTGAATGTCACAGCCTTGGCCCTGAACAAAATGCAACTGGTCCACATTAGATTGGGAACCACGCGTTTTTGTGTGTAGCCAATAAATTGTAAAGCTGCATTTTATTGGCATATGCAGCAAGTGACATTCAGTCAATCCATAAAGCTTGGAATTTCTAGCTTTGCCTAATTATGCAGCAGACGCACCTAAATGATGCCCGACAAGAAACTTCACTGATTTATTTGACGTAAAATGGATATTGAGATGGATGATCTGTATAAATTATAGCTTCCTCTACAACATAAAAAGGGCATGACTTTTGGAATTGTATTCTATTTTTTTAAATTTATTTATACTTTATATATTCAATTTAGTTTTTGTCATTATCTTCTTAAAAACTTCTTTAACATTTCAATATTTGGTCTTTCTTTCATCCTTAAAATACTCGAGTTCTTTTTACACGTTAAATTCTTGTTTCAATAATGTCTAGAATATGTTCAAATCTTAATTTATCTACTTAATACATTTCCCATTAAATTTTCTCACATCTCTTGATCCAATAGCCACTGTGTTAGGCCGACATTTGAATTGAATAAACTAATAAAAATTTTATTTGCTTATCAGTAGACTCCAAACTAAAGAGTCCATGGATTTTTTAAATCAGTTTATCAACCCTAACGAATATTGAGTAAAGCAAAATGAATAACTGGTAACGAAAATTGAGATATTAAAACGGTGTTTCAAGCAATAATCACAACTACCTACTAAAGTGTATCGCCTATTAAATAAACTGTCTTAGTTTGTTTTGCATTCGCTGGCGTTTAATTTTGATTGTTAAAAAATTGATAGGTTTCATTCAACATTTTGATTTCGTCTCGTTTTGGCTGGCTTTAGGTTTTATTGTCTTTTCTTGATCTTGATTTTTCTTTTTCTTTGTTTTGGCCTAGGGTGTTTAATTAAATTAAATGATGTTATGTCTTTCATTCATTGAAATGCAGTTTAAAGGCTCCGTTTTCATATGGCTGTGTTAATTTGAGCCAAGATTGGGCTGTTAGAATATTAGTCGTCCAAGTTGCTAATTCATTAATATTTATTACGATTCAAGTCAAACCACATTGGTTGCTTTGGTTTTTCTCTGTCTGATCTAATATGGATATAACTATATGCGTATATGTTGGTATTCACCTTGGCATTGTCCGTCAGAAGGCCCGCCTCCAACTTCTGCCTGGCATTGGCATCGAGTTCAGCCAGCTGCGCTTCGCATTTGTGCAGGCAGAGCCCAAAGTAGAGCTGGCGATGGTCAAAGTGATGTCTGTCATATTTCGAGATCTCCTGGATGGCGCGCCAGGCGGCCGCTGTGCTATTCGGCTGCACCTCAGCGCGCACAAAGCAATAGGTCCCGTCTCCATACTCCTGCAGGCAGCGATCGTAGTCATCAAAGTCGTATAGCTGCGGCATTTCGTAGTACTGCGTCACTGTGAAAGCAGTGCCAATTAGTAACCGTTAAGGAACTGAGTTGCATGAGTCAGCGGTGCAAAACTAGTTTCCATGCAATACATATAATGAATGCCACAAAAATCCCAAGAACAAGGTAGCCTCGACTAGCCTAATCTTCCTCTGCGATCAGTGAAGTAAAAGGAAACTCGTTTTCCTGCCTCCAAGTCGAAATGTCTTAGGACTCAGGCTTGAACTTGAACTTGAATGTAAAGGTGTTTCACCTTGGCAGAAATGAAATTTCTAGAACCTGATGTTGTTCAAAACCTCCACTCAGTACGAATGACTTAGAACACGAACCTGAATTTGTATTGCTTCATCTGGAGATGTCAATACTGTAACATGAGATTGAATTGATTGAATTAAAAGGTGTTTTAATTAAATATTATTTAAAACAAGTATGATAAATTTTTTTTTTGTTTTTTTGTTTTTTTTTGTTTTAAAGAATTTGTCTCTTCGACCCATAAAACCTTAACATCAATTATGAGCTAAAAGCCAGTATTTATTTTACAGTTTATTTTTATGGAGATTAATTTTAAATATATTCCCAGCTCAAAAGACTTAGCACACGAACTTATTTTTCATGCTCCAGAGACTCTACTCTAATTGTGCTCAATCATGCAGTAATGCCAAATCTCATGCTTAGAACGCCAACGTCTAAGATAAAAGCTTGAGTTCACATCTGAGGTCCTTGACTTTTGCCGGCTTTCACGCCGAGTGCAAAAAGTTGCATATATTTATTAAAAGAGTAAATCATCTGATGCTTGCTTTGTGTTGACAAGCTAAGCAAACAAATTATTCAAATTATTTTTTTTTTTTTCGCAGCTTTTAGCTCGTAAAAAATGGGATAAGTAAATATAAATTGGATGCATTATTCGTTATAATCTAATTAAAAATCAAGATTGAGGCTGAACGATTTATGGCCAAGTTGAATTTCTATTGTGATTAATTAATTGAATTATTTCAATACTATCTAAATATTCTAAAAATTCGTACAAAGAAGTATTTTGATCTACGCTAAAAGCTTTTTATTGAACGTAAACGAATACGAATTCGTGTTATGTTCTGATGATGTGTGGGGGAACTTGCCAATTTCATTTTGGGCAGAGCAAGAATACAGCTCAAACAGTTGACATGGAACATTTGATGAACGTAACAAATTTAGATGGAATCATTTGAGAAAATTATTTTGACGCCTTACAGTAATTAAGATCGCAAATTGATTTCATATCTGGTGAAAATCTGTCAAATCATCTGACGTTGATAAAAAACTCGACGTATCTGAGCGAAATCTTCCATTGTCACTGTTTATAAATTATGCGTTTAGAATGTGAGGCCTTGAAGATGAGTTTCAATTGTGCATCTTGGGGAATATTTAACAATTATATTGCTATTTTAATTGCATTTCTGTATAACCTGATTGATCACAGGATGAAATTTACAATTGATGATGTGGGCAGAAATTGCTTAGAAATTGATTTTCGATTTTTGAGGCATTTAAAATACCTATAGTATAGATGTCTCCATAAGGTGCTTAAGTTCGTATGGGATTTTGTATTCAATTCCGTTAAGGAAATAATTGCAAAGACAAATGGATTTGCATGGAGACTTGACATCTTAAACACATTATATCACATATAATGTGAGCAATTTCTAGGCATTACACAAACACTGTCGGCCATCCCATAATAATAAGAATTGTTTCTAATGCGATGACAACGCCCCGTCAAAACATTGCGTGCGAACGGGTTTTATTTACGGACTCGGACTCAAGACAAAACTGAAAACCCATAAAAATCCCCATTATAATATTAGGCATTGACACTTAATTCGATGTTACGGATTACTTACTGTTCATCTCGAAGCATCGCGCGGCTGGCAGGAGCACGCAAGAGGCGATGACAATGCTTAGCAGCCACATGTTCGTCTCTCTCTCCCTCTCCCTCTCTAAGCCACAATGCACTCAGTAATAAAAATAAAGATAATAATAATAATACAACAACGACAACGACACCTACTTAATTGTATTTGCTGCACTTTTGAATATTTTCGGGTTTGTTTTCTTTTTTTTTTTTTTTGTATTGAGACTCTTGCGACACTCGGCCGAAAGCGAAAAAATCTCTCGCCGCTGGCCAACTAAAATTTCATCAACGAAAACCTAGACATTAAACAAAAGCCGCTTCAATGCCAACTGTTAGGAAATTGCGCTACGCCTCCGTTAGCAGCTGCATTCGATGCGCTTTTCCACGCAACTTATATTCGGAACTCGAAATTGAAAGTCGCGCTGTACCGAACCGTGCGCGCCAACGTGCGAGCCGAGAATGAAATACAACGAAATTAATCCATTCAAATGAAAGGTGCGTGCTGTCAGTCAGAGCACCGAAGCTCCCCAGCTCCCAAACAGCCAGCCGGCCAGCCAGCCAGCCAGCTAGCCAGCCAGCCAGCCAGCCAACCAGTTGACCACCTGTTCCATCTGTAGCAGATGATGCTTTGATAAAAGTTTTCCGTTAAATTGCTTTGGAACATGCTCGATGCGCGCCCACATGCAGCTGATTTAAAGGGCATGCGGACAGCTTTATTGAAACGAGTTTGATGCCCATTCATTTGACGTATATAGAATAGATCAGAGGCTCTATAACCAAATAAGAGGCAGAAATAATATCTACAAGTTGCCAAATATGCTAATAGTGATAACAAGTACCCAGTCCTAAACTGGTTTTTATGTCACATTTTAGTCGTAGTAACTGACAACGGTTTTGGGGTGGCGAAATTCCGGGAGTCACCATTAATCATAATTAAAATTACAAAGAAGGAAAGGGCAAGAACAGTGGGCAAAGCAAGCGCCTGGAGCACAAGCGAAGAATTTTTGTTCTCTCTTTTAAAGGTTTCTTCATTTGACCTCTTTGCAGGCAGCTGCTCGGCTTGATTGGCCTCTCGCAGGCACGGGCCCGCCTGGATCTGGCCAGCACTGTGACGCCGCTGCACGTGCGAGATGTGATCGCCGTGGTGACAGAGAGCATGGCTCAGACCCGCCTCGGCGCCGCCTCTGGCCAGGCATCAGCGGCACCAAGCAGCTCCAGCAAAAAATCACAGTTACAGAGTTTTGTGCGCATGATGCAGATGCGATCGGCTGCGCTGGGTCGCTCCATCTTCGAGTTCGAGGAGCTGAAGGAGATGGGCACGCGAGCGGGCATTATGACGGGCATCTCTAATCTGGTGGAGCTCGCCAACTTGGGCGGCTATTTGCTCAAGAAGGGCGTAAACATGTACGAAGTGGTGCCCGACTAATCGAAATGTCTAGGTAAATATCTTAACAGTGTTTGCTGGGAAACTAATGTATTTATGTAATTAGCTTTGAGTTTTGCCGAGTCTATAAGCTGTTTGGCTAAAATACAATGTTGATTAGTTTCCTATTAGTTTCCTATTTCCTTCTAACGGCGCTCAACTGAAATGTTTACCAAATCTTTCGTTGGCTAATAAACGTTTTTGATTTTTGTTGACCTTTTGATGATTCATTCCATAGTATTCTATCAAACTACATTTACTTTTTTGACAGTGTGTTAAAATGCCCTATTTTAACTCTAAGATGTTAATTAATGTTAAGTTAAAACAAAAATCTTCAAGAACTCACAATGCCATGTTTAAATATTTTTTGTCTACGCCACCTAGCGGCGAGTAGCATATGCTCTGAGCACAAACAAAAACTTGCATACTTTTGCGCTAAGTTTACGATCTGTAAATGTTATTTACGCATACATTAATACAAATCATATCCATATATTCAAATATTAAAGGCTTGAATGGGACGAAACGACGGAAATATCTATTTTAGCGTGTTTATTATAATTTGAACGAAGCGTTGGTTTCAATTAATACTTTATTCACGTTGTATTCATAAAATTACATTGAATCAAATATATCAAATATAATATATGCTAAAAATCCAACTGAGAATGCTCCTTCTGTTCTTCGTCAGAGTAGTTTGTATTCTACGTATTTTCCAGTTCTAATTTTTGTTTTTGCATCGTGTTTCGGTAATCGTGAGGCCTTACAATTAGTTTATTTGATTAGTAACTATGGTATATAATTTGTATGCATTTTATATCAAAGATTCGTTTTCGTTTATAAAGTACAGCACTACAGGTAATTGGGCTTAGCCTAAATGGATTAGTTTCGTTTTAATATTAGATCTATCGTTTACCGTGCCTTTTAGAACTATATACAAGAAAATGATAAACAAATCAACGAGCGAACAGGCGCCTTATGATAAATATAGGGTATAAACGTACTTCAATATTTGGCATAACTGTTTTTCATTCGCTATCCAACATCCGTTAAAATCTTATGCTAATTCCAAGTGTCTTCCTTTAATTGAGATATATGTGACATAAGGCTTAATACCTTCGATTTGCTAATTAAGCATAGATTAGTATGGGTTTTTGATCTTCATTTTGTCATTTTGCGTATATTTTAAGCTAATCAGTCTAAATAAATTAAATAGAAGGCAACAAAAATTCAGTATTTGTGGCTAAAACGGAACAAATTGACACTAATTGCGGGCTAAATATTTTTTGCTACAGAGATATACATACATATAATATATATATGCTAGAATTATTATGATTAAGCTCTACTAATTTTACCTAGGATTAAACAGGCAATACATTAATGAAGGAAATCAATGTATATAAGTTTCGAATTGAAATAAATTTAGATATTGCCTGTTAATCATAAATTAGATAAATGATAAGCACAGTTAAAATAGTATAAGATATTATCTGCTTGTCTTTTGCTAGACACGTCAATTTAAAGAATACATATCCTTACGAATCATCAACTGCTTGAATTTTTGATAACAAGTTAAACATATTGCACAAAGTGTGGACCGTACAGTTTAGAATTCTATGGAGCTTACAATTGCTTCAACGGAATGCTCGCGGGCAGTGAAATGGTCTATTGGATATAGATTCACATAGGTAGTTTTGGTATACGATAACTATGCTCTGGGCTTTGTACTTTGCAATCTGTGAGACGCGGAGAAGAGTGTACGCTGCATAAATAAAGCTTAATGACATGCACTTGTCCCTACTTAAGAGTAAATAAATCCATGCCTTAACTAAACATCAAATAAATACAATAAATATTTTCGATTCTGTTACACATGAGATAAATCATAGAGGCTTCGCTAGATGCGGCCGTTGTCTGGGTTTCTGTTGGAGCTTACAGTGCTCCGCGAAAGGTTAGATTATAGGTGCGCAGCTCCATAGGCTCAAGCGTGATCTGTGCCAGCGAGCGTAAGCTTTGCGGCTGCGTATTCTTGGCCAAGCCCGTCAGGCTGGTCGCCTCGATGCTTTGCAGATGCAGATCCCCGAAGCGAACGGCGCCCAGTCCGTTGCCAGTCAGCGGGCACAAGCTGCTCATGTCCAGGTGCTGCGAGCTGACGCTGCAGTCGTAGCCCTGGCGATGCAGCACCATCAGAGCCGAGGCGGACGGAAACAGTTGCAGCTGTGGCTCCGAGAGAGTGCGCAGTGTCGTCAAATGGACATCGCAGGGCAGCGCTCCGTGTGGCAGAAGACGGACGAGTGGCTGCAGCGCCGCTTGGGGCTGCTCGAAGTTGCTCAAAAAGTAGAGATTTGGTGGATAGCGCAGGCCGTTGGCCAACTGTTGGGCCTGCAAGCTGAGCACCTTGTAGCTGGGCGGGTTGTCCACATGCTGGCTAGCCGGGATGTCTTCCACCAGCAGCCAGAACTTGTGCCGCGTCAGCCGACTGTCGACCACGCCCTCGCCCATGCCGCGATAATCATCGTAGAGTGTGCGACGATCCAGCATCACCTCCAGCTGGCCGGGCTCATAGCTGGCGGCGCCCTGCGCATGCGTGGTGAGCAACGTGAGCCGCAGGTGCGCATCCTGCATAAATGCCGCCGACGTAATGGGGAAGTAGTTGCCCTCGATGCCAATCGCGGGCACCTTGATCCGCCTGTTGAGCAAGCACAGATTACCATCTGACTAATCGCAAATGCAAATGAGAGTACTTACTGATGAAACTGGAACCCATTCTGATCAGTGTAAAATACTGGCAGTTCGGGTATGCTGGTCTCTGTTGGATCCTTGAGCGGATCGCGCTGCACTGGCGCTGGCGCAATGTTGTCTATGTTCGTGACCAGACGCATGAAGAGCTCTGTTTCCCGATTCTTGGGAGGCGGCTCAAAGTCGATGTCATTCTCGATATATATGGCGGCATCCAGGTGAGTGTGCGTGTTGAAAATCCGCACAGTATGCGCCATGAATGGCCCATAGATGACCGTCACGTCGCTGGCGATGGGCCCGGAGGTGATTATGATGCGCACGTCCTCGTACTGGTCCAGCACATCCTTCTCGGCCTCGCTCTGCTCGGGATCCGTTTTGAACAGATATGCGCCCGAATGGAACTGCGCGCTGCGATAGGCCGCGAATTTGATGGCGCACTGCATCGGATGCAGCAACTGCTGCAGCTTGTTTTTCCGGGTGATGGTCTTGAGGAAGCCGCTCTTCTCATCGAACAGCAAACGCATGTGGCCATTCTCCAGCTGGATGTCACCTGACGATGTGGAGGATGAAGAAATGAATGCTATTAGTGAAACTAAATCATAATATTGATCTGCTGGCTTACCGGCTGGCTTTGCCTTTGCCTCGAACTCCACAGGACTGGGCTTGCCGGGCGTTGTATTGGCAGCCTCGTTGACAGTCGCCTTCTCGGTGCAGTCGTCGCAGTAGATGGTGGCGATGTTGCGCTTGTAGTTGAACTCGTCCACCTGGACGCGGTAGGTAGTCAGCGAGAGCGGCTCCAGCTCGGCCACAAACATCACCTCGTACTGCCGCCTGGAGGTGCGTATGCGAGCGCCGGCGCTCGACTGGGGCATCGCGTTGAAGCCCTGCTGTTCGTAGGCATCCGTGATGTTCCACACGGGATTGATCTGGATGTGCTTCAGCTCCGCGCCGCGCTCATTGTAGATCCGCACGTTGGGCTGCTGCACTCGCAACGTGACGATCTCGATGCGCCGCTGCGTGAGCGCATTGAAGACCACAAAGCTGGCCTCGGCATTCTTGGCCAGCGGCACAGGTGATTCCCCCTCGGCGTCGTCCAGGTCGTTGCCCGTGTTGGTGGTGCCGCTGCTGCCGGCCTCGTCGCTGCCCGTGGCACTCGGATACATCAGCTGGATGGGCATCTTTCTGGGCAATTTGCTAAAGTTGTCCCGCTCGAATTCACTGATCAGGAAACCGTGCTGGTGCGAGCTGCTGTTCTGGAGCAGCAGCTCCACACACGCCTCCTGCATCTTGACCATGTTCTGGGTGCTGTCGAACAGCCGCATCGCATAGTCACGCATCACCGCCGCCTTGGAGGTGCCCGTGATGGCGTCGTGGTGCTGGAACAGGCCCAGATTGCGCCTCGCGTGTATAATTTGCTCATAGTTCTTCTCGTAGATCTTGATGGCGTCATCGTGGTGCGATTGCCGCGCCGTATTGTAAGCAATCGTGAACAGAATCTCCGCTGCGCGCAAATTGTGCTCCAGCTCGGCGCTCAAGAGCTTGTAGTAGGGCCGGGTCGTGAAGTAGCCCGACCAGTAGGCGGGTCTGCCCTCCGAGAAGATATCCGAGTAGACAAAGAAATCACCCTTGAAGCTGGGGAACGCCCTCTCCGAGCTCATGCGCTCTCGTATGGCCGCAAAGTAGTCGCTGGGCGTGCCAAACTTAATGTCCACGTTGTACAGCCGCTTGTTAGCCATGATGTGGCTGATGAGCTTCTTGTAGTTGCGATACTGCTGGTCCACCTCGCGCTCCTTGTTGTAGCGGAAGTCATCTCCCACGGGTATCAAGGCCACATTGTGCGGGAACAGGGAGGCGGTGCGTGCGTACTGCTCCAGCAGTAGCTCTGCCTTTTCCTCCAGGTTCTCGTCCGTGATGTATTGCGCCTTCAGCGAGTACTCCGTGTACTCTCCGGGTATCTTGCGAAAGTCAAAGTTCAGGCAGATGGAGGGATGCGGTCCGCAGGAGCCCTTTATGGAGTATATGTCGAAGGGCATGTTGTGGGTCAGCAGCTTGCCGTGCCCATTGGCCGTGCGCCAGTAGGGCGTCCAGATGAAGTCTCCACTCTGCTGGCGAGCGAACCACTCCTTCCATGCATAATGGATGCGCTGAATGATCGCGCCCTCGAACTGGGCGCCGGACAGCAGATAGGGCACCGTGCTGCCGTGCCCGAAGGGATCAATGGACCAGCCCACCTTGGGCGTCACATTCAAATTGTTCTTCAGCCACTGATGGCCCTCGATGAGCTGGTCGAGCATGGGATAGATGTGCACGTTGGCCTCATCCGTCATGACCCAACCGCCGGTGGTGATTTCAATGCGCCCCGAGCTGACCAGGCGCTTGAGGGCGCGC